GCCTATCGCCATATACCGGGCACAATTCCAGACTCCGTGCTACTATTTTACTGAGATTTTTTTAAAATCCAGTAATGCTTTGCCCGACCCAGGAATCGAACCCGAGACACATTGTTCGTTTTTTTATCGATTCTGTAAACAATAATAAGTTTCAATGTAATTGTTTTTTTATTACATTAATTGCCTTACTCCCGTACCAAAACCCGAAGCATAAAATTTTCCTAATAGCCCCTTTGATAACACATGTCGGTATTACACAACGTCCTACATAACTTGATACCTGCAATTCGCTACGTTTACGATCTTATTATCAGCGTTTCCGTACATTAATACAGTTTCAGGGGTCAAGAGAAACTGGTTAATTGTGTCTACAGCGCTTTGATAAATTTTACAAGTTGAATTTTGTAGTTCGTTATAGGATTGTAGACTCTATTGGAGTGGGATAAGGATTGTTTTGTACGTAAATTTAATGTTGGTGGTTTCGTTCGTTGTTTTTAGTGCAAATAAATTGAGTCACTTACCACAGTTGAAACGAATGCAGTATGCCAAGGTCGAGCAAATATATTAATGTTGTCTTAACCTACAGTTGCTGATATATTGTATAAATATTTATACACAAAACATACCGGGAAGTCTTATCAATAAATAAATAGTATTTATTTTGTGTGCATTAATTTTAAACGAAGTGCATCTGGTTTTCATAGCAGACAAAAGCTCTCTTTAGTACTGTACCCGGATCAGGTGTATTAATTTCGCACAAATTTCAACTCAACTCAAAAGCATTTATTTCAATTAAACCATAATTTGGTACTTTTGAAACGTCAACAAATATGAATTTTATAATAGTCTGTCAGTATGACCGTCAGTGAAGATAGGCGCTCGTTCCAAAATGTCGATTCGAGTGGAGAAATTTCGCTTAGTTCTATCATTTCTAAGAATATAATTCTTTTAATGATAATTGTTCAGTAGTCAAAGTTAAAGTCAAAGCATTTATTTCAATTGACTGCACGATTGGTGCGGTGGCTGGGCAACCGGCTGCCGTGCAACGTGTCGCGGGTTCGATTCCCGCACGGAACAACACTTTGTGCGATCCACAAATTGTTGTTTCGGGTCTGGGTGTCATGTGTATGTGAACTTCTATGTTTGTAAACGCACCCACGACACAGGAGATAATCCTAGTGTGTAACGTTTAAAAAAAACAAAAAAAAAATAATTAAAGCATAATTTCTTACTTTTGTAACGTCAACAAATACAAAATAAATAATAGTCTGTCAGTCAGTCCGTCAGTGAAGCTAGGTGAAGCTAGGCGCTCGTTCCAAAATGTAGACTCGAATGGAGAAGAACGAGTAAGAAACTCCATTCGTTACTCTTTTTAAAAAGTATGTTCTACAATGTCTCTGATACATATTCCAATACTGTACGTATATGTGAGAACAATGCCTAGACACCTAAATGTAAGTATGTAGTACCTAAATGTGTCACTGTCAACAAAACTCCATGGATAACCGATAGACTTGGAGTCTTCTGTGCATAAATGATTCTGTACCTTCTCTCCACGCCTAATTTTCAAGTGTGGAGGAGCCATGCTTTAGCACAAATGGGGCAGCTCGACCAGAGTGATATCACCAACGAGTAGAAAACTGGCATGCAACAACGCTTGCGTTGAGTTTCATCTTGTGAGTGAGATTATCAGAGGCCCAATTACACCCCCCTCTAACAATACTTAAATTTATAATCCCTAATAGGACGGTAACGCACTTGTATTGCCTTTGGTGTTCCAGGTATCTATGGGTGACTCCGATTGCTTACCATAATGTGATCTGTCTGCTAGGTTACAGGCTTATCCCACAAAAAAACGCTTGGCAAACGCCTTGGAGGTCGCATTTTAAAACATATATAATATATGACGTCACTCATACGATAGATTGCCTAAATTAAATCTACATTCAGCGGTTTGCTGAAGCAATACAGCAGGACGACTTTAAACAGGGACAAATGGCGGTGCACCGTGATTTCACAATCACCACTGAAGAATAGTATTGAAAGTAATGTTAATACTATTTACTGCCTCGTTGACCGACTGGCCGCAAGTGCGACTGCCGGGCAGTCTCGGGTTCGATTCCCGGGTCGAGCAAAGTATTACTGGGTTTTTAAAAAATTCTCAGTAGTAGCACGGACTTTGAAATTGTGCCCGGTATATGGCAATAGGCTCACCCCCTATTACATGGGATTCGTAACATAAATAGTGAAAAGTGGGTGTTACATTGTATAGTGGCATAATGTGCACCTCTGCCTATCCCTTCGGGGATAAAAGGCGTGATGTTATGTTATGTTAATACTAATAATTAAATAACAAATACAAATATTAAGATTTTTCCTCACCGAACAAATCTTGATAAAATTATCACACAAAGATTCTAACCTGACCTACTGCTCTTATCTACACTGTGACACTGATGAGTAGCATTGTAACAATGGGGATGTTGACAGGGTATAAAAATTAAAAATATAATTAGTCCGTAAGTTAGGTAATAAAAAAATATTAGACACGTATTTTTTTATTTTGTCGTATAATAAAACAATACTTAGATAAAACGAGTTAAAGTTTAGGAGTGGGGGGTAAAACGTCATTTCTTAGTATAAAATGTACTGAGAAGTGACGTCACGCGACATTTCAAATCAATATATCTTCAAAACTATTCGTTTCCAAAAGAAAATAAAAAATACGTGTCTAATATTTTTAAATAATCTACCAGACGGACATTAAAATAAAAATTAGTCGTCTACCCCAAGACACTAGCACATCAACCTATACAACCTATCATAATCGAATTTCACCTTTAAACCTGAAATCTTTAAGGTTCAAAGTCTTTTAAATACATGAGTCAATTTTGGATACTTTGACATGCTGTTAGTACTATTTAATGAATGATTTGTATAGAAGTGTTACAAAATGATCACGTGACGTACATTAGTAGATAGTATGTGCTCGGTAACGGCTGATTGTTCCTTGATGCTGTAATTACAATTGTTAATTGGCAAGGTCGACTAATTTGGGGAAACTAGTTAGTGGTTAGTTGGCGTAAAGTGTTATTGTATTTCAGGGACCTGGTATGATAACCTGTATTTGATAATTTACAAAGGATTTATAGTTATTATTCACAGGCTTATAAAATCTAAAAGGAGGGTAGGGAGGCCTTTGCTCTGCAGTGGGACGATCATGGCTGAAAAAAAAATAATGTCAATAATTCACAGAAATTAATACTATTTTGTAACTGTAATACTTAGATTTTGTAGTATATCATAAAAAAAATAATTTTGGAGCCTGTGTACGATATTGAACGATATTGAATGAAACTCTTTGTTACAGCTCAAGAACTTGCGATGCTTAGCATGGCAGTCGATACTATAGTCAAAATATGCGATTACGTACCTATAATACTTTTTTAAGAACTCAAAAAAATATTTTTCCCGTTCTGAAAGTTCGTTTTGTTAAACTTCTACATAACTTTGAAAATAATTCGACTATTTTTGTCACAAATTAATAGCAACACCATTGGTCTCCCGCTGACTTTCTTCCCATATAATCTCCATATGGCATCAATAGACCAGTTACGCATAAACAAATTTGACATAAAAACATTTAAAAATGTGTGAAAAATCGACGCAGGCGCCGGGTGAATGACCTCCACTCCAGATGTTGTTTTCACGCAAATATTATTAAAACACGCAAGTAACGGTGTTTTAATTTGTCGGTTTATTTATATACAGGATGTTTCTAATTAAAGAAAGGGTAATCAAAGTACGAATTGAATTTTCTTTGTCTGTCATATACAGGCTGTATTTTTTTTTATATTTAACACTAAATTTTATATTATAGACTGTATTATTTATTTTCCTTAAGGTTATTTTCTTTTTCGATCACTTTGACTGGATTTTAGTGTTACATTGTTCTCGCACAATCCAAACAGCAAACTATGTAACTAAAGAATTGTATTGTGAACCTGTTTGGAAAAGAGTAACCTATGGAGTTTCTTGTTCGTTCTTCTCCATGGGAATCTACACCTTGGAATGAGCAAATAGCTTCACTTTTAATTTTTTTGTTGAAGTTCAAAAGTGCCTTTCTGGTCTAATTGAATTAAATGATTTTGACTTTGACTTTGACTATGTTAATTTTGATACCACAGCCTCACAGAAGACCAATGTGAAACAATGCTTGCGTTGTGTTTCGTCGTGTGAGTGAGGTTACCCCTCCCCAATGTTTCCAATCCTTGAATCCCCAACAATCCTCAAATTCCTAATCCCCAAAAGGCAATAGGCTCATCCCCTATTACATGGGACTCATAACATAAATAGTGAAAAGTGGGTGTTACATTGTACAGAGGCATTAAGTGCCGTAATGTGCACCTCTGTCTACCTCTTCGGGGCCAACAGGCTGTTTTCTTTAGAGGCAGTGTAATAAGTTTCCTCACAAAAAATTAAAGGAAAATGATACAAAATGTAATTGTTAAGTATACGATATATTAAAAGCGAAGAATTTGACACAGTATATAATATATATTTACTTGAATTGTTTGTTTTAAGCTACTTAAATGTGTACAATAAAGCATATATAAATAAATAATAGAAAGTAACCTAATTAGTTACAATAAATTGGTTAAACCGATTAAAATGGTTACAGAATACAATGCATTTCATAACATTTATAAATATAAATTACATTTACGACTAGATTATAATATTATTGCAAAGAAATGAAGCTTACTTAAGTAGGTATAGTCATATTGAGCAATAGACAAAAGTAAATGTTCTATGTATATATCTACTTTTATTTTACGTGGGGAAAATCATCGAATGACTTCCCCCGTCTGGGTGAGGCGGGAGGGAGTATCAGACTCTTACTGACTAGAAACCACCCCGTTCCTTCTCCTGTACTTCGAGCTGGAGCCCTAGTAAACCGTTAAGTTCTCCGCGACTCCGAATCGGCATCAGCCCAATTGGGCCCCATCCGTGGTGGTCTAAAGGCTCCTTGAGGCGCGCGCGGTATATGTATCTACTATTTAATTAAAAGTGCTATTATTTGGACCCATTTCTCAGAGATATATTAATTTTATATTTCGATACCTTCTATCAAAATCAAAAACCCTTATTAACATAAACCTATACTATAAAACAAGCTAAGTTTACGTTTGTTTCTATATCACAAAAATGCTGAACCCATTTAAATGCAATTTTAAATACAAATACGACTTAGACTTTTAGTCTTGTAACTTAAAATACATCTACTATTTACTCTTTCTTCTCCATTGTCTTCAAATACTTCTCCGGCCTAAATCTCTTGAAGTTCCATCCAAAACTCCTTTGAGTCCCAGTTCTATTAAGAGAAGGAGATGAAGGGATGGAGTCTCCTTGTCGAGAGAGAGTAGAAGACTCCTCAGGAAGAGAGAGATCAGTAGGAGAAGCGGACATGTTCGGAGTGCAGAGGATATTGGTGGACGCTTTCAAGTCCTCTTCCAAGTCCTTCATGTAGCTGGCACTGCAGAGGGGAGTCTCCACCTGTTCCACGGAGTTGAGGTTGTCCACGTCTATCTTGTAGGCTTCCTCCTTCTTGCTGTAGCTGTGGAAGATGAGATGATTTTGTTAATGTTTCAGTTTTCGACATATTATAAAATCGTAGGAACGACAAAACTGTACACCGAATATTTTTTCAAAGAACACTACCTCTACAATCGACATCGAAACCTAAAATATAGATTTTAGAATTTTTGTCTGTTTGTCTATATATAAATACGGATACACGGGCTAAACTCAAAAAGTAGGTACTCCATGGATTTACTTCAAATTTCGCATGAATATTACAAACAGGAGTCAATGTCATGTTCAACCATACTATGAGTGACCTATGATTGGCATATACAGAAAATAAATATGGCTGATTCAAATGTAGTATCTATTTCAAACCACATCTGGCGGGAGCAATCTAACTACACTCAATAATGTAAGATGAAACATAAACCATGTTTTATTAACATCAATACTACTCATATAATCTTACTCATAGCATAAAAGTAATTTCTTATTCAACTGCAAGAACCAAAATAGAACACCTAACTGCATAACATATACACACGGCAATAAATGTTCTTTATTAATATTAGAAACTAGCTTCTGCCCGCGACTTCGTACGCGCAATCCCGTTTTCTCCCGTTCCTGTGTGATTTTCAGGACTTTTTCTGTCATAAGAACCTTCTCCTGACAATAACAAACACAACAAAAAAGAAATCAGCCAAATCGGTCTAGCCGTTCTCAAGTTATGGCGTGACAACGGGAAACGGGTTTCATTTATATATTTTACTAGCAGCCCTTCGCACAGGGTAGACAATTATTTATTTTTAGAAATTTGGATTGTTGTAGTGACATAACTACAATAGTTGGACATATGCTACCGCGGACTTTTTTGTAGACATTATGATGTTCTTCAATATTGTTGTACATTATTTTGTTCTATCGTTAATAGTTTCGGCAGCGCAGTCGACGAAAGACATTTTAAGACTCATTTTTCTACACCTTCGGTTACATTGTTCAAATTTTACTAAGGATCCCTAATTTTTTTCAAAATGAAACGTAGCCTATGTCAAATTGGAAGAATGTAGCATTCTATTGGTGAAAGATTTTTTTTAAATCGGCTCAGTACTTTTTGAGCCTATTCATTACAAACATACAAACATACAAAAATAGGTACAAATCTTTCCTCTTTATAATATTAGTATAGATATAGGTTTAGTATTAGAAATTTAGAATACAAAGATTTGCATGGTAGCCGGGTTTCTCTGCAGTTATGGCGTCATTATCAACTACAAATTTCAAGGATTCACTATTTGTTTCCCAGCATTTCCCAACTTTGTTATGATCAGCACTGTGTTACAACTCAGTACCTAATGTTATCCCTTCTAATCCCTGAAATCTCTGAAAATGAAAAGCCAGACCGAGCAGCATTAATACAATGGTACGCCTACTACTCATCATATTTATGTTAGAACCTCCATGTAGAAGGGGGTGAGCCTATTGCCATACGGAACGGATATAATATTACATACTACATTGTCATTGATTTGAGTGATTATAAGCGCGCCAATTAAGGAGTCTCGTGTTCCATTTACTGCTCAAAAAATGTTTACATTTTTGGAACTTTGATCGGTACTTAATACTCCTTGCCAATTCTGCTGACAATAAATTTTTAAAACTGGTGCTAGTATTTAATTATGCTACTTACTGCACAACGTTTTTGAACCGGTATCCCCACATGATTTCCTTGGAGAGGTACGAGGTTCTACTCTGTGTGGTGGTGCCCATGTTCTTCGAGGCACCAGTCAGGCAGACCACGATCTCAAATCTAGAACAATGTGAGTAACTTGGTATAGTTTGGAAAACATTGCAAAACAAAAGAGGTGGATAGTGGTGTTTAACCTACATGCTTCGGAGACCACTTTAAGTTCGATCAGTTTCGATTGCTATGTTACCAAAAATTTAGAGAAGTCGGCTTCGAAGTATTTGTACATAGTAATACGATCTATTTACTAGTTTATTTACAGGAACAATGTTATTATTTTGTTTCAGCTAAGAATGTGGTAGCGACTTGTAGAGAGAAGATGACATTAACTTCAAGTAAAATACTGACATAACATTACGCCTTTTACCCCCGAAGGGGTAGGCAAAGATGCATCTAGGTTATGTTAGGCAGGGGTAGGCACAGGTTATGTTATGAGTCCCATTTTATTGGGGGTGAGCCTATTACCATATACCGGGCACAATTCCAGACTCCGTGCTACTACTGGGATATTTTTAAACCTCGTAATAATTTGCCCGACCCGGGAATTGAACCCGAGACCCCTTGCCCGGCAGTAGCACTTGCAACCACTTGGCCAACAAGGCAGCCACTACTGACATTCAATTAAATCCATTGAGAAAATCTTAAAAATGTCTTGATACTGACTCCTGCCCATTTGAGAATCATCCAGAAGAAAGAACTGTTATATAATATCTTAAGCACACCTGTAATCCATCATGTCTTGAGCAGAGAAGTCATAGAGCGGACTCCGTCGGTTGATGGCGTGCACCACGGTGATGGGCCACAGCAGGAATGCTCGAGACTCCTTCAGTTCCAGCTGGTGCATGTAGTTGTGGACTAGTTCTCCTTCCAGCGTCCTAGCGGGAAAGATAATGTAAAGCTTATATTCATGATATTGAAGGTTGAAATTTGAACTTAGATGTTGTTGCAGTTATGATCTTATATTAAAATTAATATTGGTGTTGATCAGATAATCACATCACAATATGATCATATCAACCATTCATGTCTAATGTGCTTTAAAATGTACAACGTGAATAAAGAATAATAAAATACCAAGGATAAAAATACTTGATATGGAAAACCCAGGCCAATAAACTCTAGACATTAACAAGAAACAAATAAGTAGATACCTGATAGGTTTGAGCATGTAGGCAGTGATGCTGCTGCCTATGATGTGCACGTTCATCAGATCCCACACTCTGAACTGCAGGCAGAGCTCTCCGTCACGACGGCATACCTAGAAAAGTAATGACGTACATAGGTAACATCACGCCCTTTTTAACGAAGGGGTAGGCAGAGGTGCACATTACAGCATTTAGTGCCACTGTACAATGTAACACACACTTTTCACTATTATGTTATGAGTCCCATGTAATAGGGGGTGAGCCTATTCCAGACTTCGTGACGAGTGACGATGACGAGGATATAATATGATTAAAGACATGTTTTAAACTAATAAAACTTCTGTAACTACTTACTGCAGCCTTCCTGCTGAAACCAACGGAGTTGACATGTCGGTTCGGTCTGATCAGTTTTGTGAACAGCAAACTTGACAGGCCACCTGAGAGAGCAGTACCGGCCACTATCTGTAATGTAAAGTTATTTACATGAATAGGTTAGTAAATATACGACGAAAGAAAAAATGGATAAGTAGGTTTTGTGAAAGAGAAAAGAGTTTGTCATAGACCGACATTCGATAGAGGAGAGTAGAAAGAAGTATGTACCAATTGCAAGTAGGCAGTAGCTTTGGATGATTAAGATCTAAAGACGGACTTCATTTTGGATACTATGTGTGTGAGAGAAAATCATAGGCGTATTACCTCTAACACCATTATGATGATAGCTTCAGGACATTCTTCATTCGGGAACCGAGTCCCGTATCCTATAGTCATCTGTAAAGAAGATATTAAAATATTATATAAGGAGTAAAACATTTTACTAGAAGATTTTGTGATGGTACGTCTTCAGCTAAATAACTTAAGATTGTCATATCTCTATATTGAACCACTAGTTTCTGGCCGCAGCTTCGCACGCAGTTCCGTGGGATAAAAAGTGGTCTATTTTTTTTATGACATACATAAGCCGGTAAACGAGCAGACGGATCACCTGATGATAAGTAATTGGCGTCGCCCATGGACACCTGGAACACCAGAGGCATTACAAGTGCGTCACCGGCTTTTTGGTGATTAGGAGTTTGAGGATCGTTGGGGATTCAGGGATTGGGGAGATTAGGGGAGGGGAAGGTAATTGGGTCTCTAGTAACCTTACTCACACGACGAAACACAACGTAAGCGTTGCTTCACGTCGGTTTTCTGTGAGGCCGTGGTCACTCCGATCGAGCCGGCCCATTCGTGCCGAAGCATGGCTCTCCTACACTTGAAAATTCTATCTGTTATTCCAGATCATAATCTAATTATACTAAAAATTTCATCTCGATCCCTAGCGCCGTTTTGACGTGAAGAGTTGACACACACACACATACATTCTCACAAATTTTTGCATTATAATATTAGTAGGATAAACCTCTAAAGATTAACTCACCTGAGTTTCAACCGACATCATCAATAGTCCAGCGAACGACTTGGTACCAGTAACGCAGTGTTCTTTCCCGTCGCCTATGTCTTCCGCGTAGGAGGTAGACACAGCGTACCAGATGGCTGCGAAGACCAGCCAGAAGATGAAGTGGGCAGCCACCATCATTAGCAGGATGAAACGCCATTTGCTGTTGATCTGATGAAGAAGTTTCATTAGTTACATAACATATTATCACGTCTTTTATCCCCGAAGGGGTAGGCAGAGGTGCACATTAAGGCAATTAATGCCACTATTCAATGTAATACCCACTTTTCGCTATTCATGTTGTGAGTCCTATGTAGAAGGGGGTGAGCTTATTGCCACATACCGGGCATAATTCCAGATTCCGTGCTACTTCTAAGATTTTTTTTAAAACCTAGTATTACTTTGCCCGACCCGGGAATTGAAACCGAAACCGAAAACGAGGCAGTACTTATTAGTATTTTAATGAAATGTCTATTCGATACAGCTACAGATTTTTTGAGTAGGAATAAAATCACTACTGAGTTTTTCTTCTTTCGATGTAATAGGTTTAACATCTATAGTTTCTGAAATTGTATTCTTTGAGTAAAGGATGCCATTTTTATGAGACTCTGAAAACTATAGTCCTTATAAAGCATAAGTACTTACAACAGTCGTAACAATATCCCGCATATACTTGATGGACTTGGCAGATATGTTGCTCCTCACTGGCACATTCTCTTCTCCTGACTTCAGCACCACACGTCTGGACCTGTTCGGTCTGCCGTGGCGCTGTCTGCAATTTAAGATAAATATGGTTTTAAACTTTCGGGAGATACTGGCCTGTGGCAGAATCTGTTGTTTATTCATTTTGACGACTACGTATATCTGTTGGAAGAGGCCTTTGCCGACCGGCAAACAGACCTACAAAAATGAAGAAGAATATAATAATAGAATACAAAACAGTATTAGTTAAAACTACGAAAAGAAACTAAGTTGGTCTGAATAAAGGGCTTTTAATATCATTATTACCCCGTATGTCTGACTACTTTTGGGTTATCAAATCTTCTGAAATTTTCAATAAAATCACTGTCCTATATTACCAGATATGCATAATTTTTCGTCGACAGTTGTTTAGTGTTAATAAAAGCTACAAAAATTTAAGAACACAAGAGTCCAAATACTAATTTGGTCAGTACCGATTTTTCTTTGGTCCATGATACAAATCAAACTCAGGACCGTGAGGTAAGTGTGAACTTAGCAGTTGCGTTATCGAGCAAACGCATTAGCAGTTAACTCGAAATTAATCAATTGTAAAATTGTAAACAAATGATTCAATCTTATTCGCAATATTTTTTCAATAACATCGCATAATTGAAGAATATCGGATAATTTGCTATCTTATCGAAATTCATGGTTCGCTTTAAAACTGTTCGCGATATGATTTAAGGCGTCGCCCATATTTCGGCTATCAATACCGACGGAAGTCAAGTGAAGACTTGTTTTCCCATAAAAGGCACCCCTGGGTAAATATAACCAAGTTTGCATGTTTTGGCAAAAGTATTGTAGACTCAATTTACTAGAATGCAAAGTTAATATTTGCTTGAAGAGCAGCAAGAAGGAGTGGTATTAAAGAGGAAACTGTATTAAGTTCAACGCCCTAGGATTCATTATAGTACTGAGGATATTATTGTCGACAATTACGCCATGAACAATCAAATTAACCCTTAAGTATTAAATAGAGAGTCTAATACAGCTTGCAACACATTCATAAATCTTAATAGTTTAAATAAACCCACCTATGAGTCCTCTTCTTCTTCCGCCGACTATAAGGCGTAGAATACGCATGAGCTGATGGTCCATACGTGGTCTCTCGATCATCAAATATACTGTCAGGAGTATCCAAAGTTTCTATAGTATCAATCGTATCATAAATATGATTTGTCGTAGTAGTATCTGACGCTATAGGTATGGTAGACTGTTCTGATAGCGGCTTTGTTATAACAGAATCTTTTGGACTACTAGATTTATCTTCCACGTCAATGGTCATCACTAAACCAGGGTCTGTATGTTCATCTTCACTTGAATATATTGAGGAGTCCTGTGATGATTCTACTATGGGAATTCTCAAATGATTCTTGGTATCAACATTAGTTACCACAGAAGGGAAGGATATCTCCTTCCCTTCTACATACGTCTGTGATATTCTGTATTGTTTTTTTAGTTCCTCATTTGCGTACACGTCTGTTAGGACGATGTTGTTGGGGATCTCGATTGAAGATCTGCCTGAACCATTGCCGATGGCTTCGGAATAGCTCAGAGATCTTTCTAAGGCTCTGTTTCGACTGCCTCGCCTGGATTCACCTTGGTCGTAGTTCATTTTGTTTGATCTTGAAGAAAGCACGTAGTTGTTCTAATATTTAATTTTATTGCACAAGTCTTCACTAAAGTCGTTGATGTTATTTAAGGCACTGCATCTTGATTTAAAATGTTTGTATTAACTTTTAACTTATCTTCGATATATTTATAACATCACTGTAGAAAGTTCTATCAGACAAAGCAAATATGTTCCCACAAATATTGGTATCACTTATTCCTGTTATTTCATTTTTATTATCAATTTTCCTTAAAACGTGTACCTTATATCTCTAACTACATTTTACAGTCTTTGGAATAGCACTTATTACTGGGTTCATTGCACTTTTACTACGTATAATAAATTTAAAACCTTAATTGCACCAAAATATTGACAAGATCTTGTGTGTCTCACACTAGTACTGCAGAAGACATGGTTCTCGTGTTCGGTATTGTTATCTTTATAGATAAGGACACCTTTATCCGAAGATAAGGAACAAATATATTTGTACTAGTTATAATATACTTGTTTTGATCTAATTGTGGTCTAGAAAATTTATGGAGCGTTGACTTGGAATTCATTGAGATTGTGGCTCGAGTGTTGGTAAATAAACTTGATTCTGGTTATTTTGATGTAAAAATAACATAATATAACATAACATCACGCCTTTTATCCCCGAAGGGGTAGGCAGAGGTGCACACAGAAATAACACCCACTTTTCCACTATTTATGTTATGCGTCCCATGTAATAGGGGGTGAGCTTATTGTCATATACCGGGCACATTTCCAGATTCCGTGCTACTACTGAGATTTTTTTTAAAACCCAGTAATGCTTTGCCCGACCTGGAAATCGAACCCGAGACACCTTGTCTGGCAGTCGCACTTGTGACCACTCGGCCTAAACATGACTTCAATACATATTTCTATCTTACTCAATGCACTTTCTTCGTGTACTGGGTAAGAAGAAAGTAAGTAACAAATTGAGTCAGTTTAGTGACAAAATGGTTGATTTTCTTTGGGTTTTCGAATAGATTTAAAAACTCTTTTAGAGTTTAACAAATCTGGTATACCTCGAAAGTGGAGCAAACTGATTACAGCTTGGTACCCAAGGGACGGCTCTAGAACCCAAGGTCGCAAGGCCAGAAGATGGGAAGATGACCTGAAATTGACTTTAGGCCCCCTTTGGCTAAGGATAGCAGAAGACAGAAAGCAGTGGAAAGAGTTGGAGGAAGCCTTTGCCGTAAAGCACACTGAAATAAGGGACATTTTGTAAATTCAGTGTAGCATATAACTATAGTTATTTACCTTAAAGTTCACATGTTGTTTATTCGGAAATGAAAGGCTTATTAATTATTATTATTATACAATGATAATGTTTTTGAAGATCGAAGGTATTCTTTGGCACAACTATCTGATTATTTTTTCTGAATTTAGAGAGGCCACCTAGTATGGTTTTATAATAAAGGATAATAGAAAATACAGTTTGGTTTCATAAAAATATATTTTATAAACTTTGATTCGACATAGATACAATCAATATATTCCTTAAAACGACGCTATCATAAGATTACAACTTTGGACACTTATTTTTACTATATTATAACTTATTGGCAATCGTTGACAATACTCATAGGATAGGTACATACATTAGATTATTGCTTTTTCGTCGTACATACAAAAATTTTATTTAACTTCTCTGCATTTACTCTTACGACTAATTCGTATCACGTGCTGAACAAGACCTAGTTTCGTATTCTTATTTATTTTGTAGTCTCTTAAAATTAATAATCTCGGTAAAATGTAAAGACGACCAAAAAAAGAACGATAGCTTTTGTGAATTATGGTATCAATGAGAAAGAAAGAGTTTGTGAAGAATGGAAAAAGGAAATATAACTAATGCTGGCCGCACATGTATTTTTTACTGGCAGTTCGCGCGGCTTTTGATTGCCGACGGCAGTTTGCTGAAGCCGCAATTCGATACAGAGTGATAGTGCTATCGTTATTGGTATTCATAATATATAACATAATTTCTTATAAATAACAGAATTATTCTGAGTAGATGGTGCAGTACTTTTATTAATAGAAAATAACTTCGGTGAAAGTCACAGCACTATTACAAAAGTCGTAACCGCGTCTGCAAATTCAGCAGCAAGGCGGTCTGAAAGCCGGCGGCAAACCGAAAACGGTGTGAATGCGCCGAGATATTATGACTATGAATCCAAACTTAAAAAGAAAAAGAAGAATGATCTTATTCGATGAATGAGTTAGGGAACTCTTAACTCTTATTATTTGCACTCTGCCTGAAGGACGAGGAGCGCGCTAGCTGGAAGCTGGACACCTTCTCGCTGAAGTTGCTTGGAGTTCCAGGGGTGGGAGGTGGCTCCTTTATCGGTGTAGAACTGTTAAAATAAAAAGAAATAGGTAGTAATGGAGATTTGTGGTACTTAATGGAGATTTGGGTAAGGTTCCTGATCAGAAACCGATCTAAATGAATCATTATTGGTAGACACAAGGGAACTTTTTCTGAATTCGGATTGATGATTAATTTCAGGAGAAGTAAAAATCACATACTGTTAGATTAACAGTCACATTGTGTATAACTGTGTAATAATTCTAATCCGTAGCCATTGAAAGTTAGTTATAGATTTTAATAATGTTTAAAAACTAATAAAATTAATCATCGGTGGAGTTGAGCATATTATAACGTTAGACTAAAGACTTACTTTCGATAGATATCCCTGGCGCAAGAGTACGGAGTGTCGACGGGCTCCAGAAGGTCGAGCTTCTTATGATCGATGACATACTTCTGCTTGTGACTGTCGTACCTGCAAACTCTTTACGTATACTCTTCACGAATTCTGAGAGCCTGGTACAGGAGGACCAGTCTGTTGGTAACTAGGTTAGGTTGTTTAAAACTTAATTGAAAAGTATGGCGTGGGTGATGTTGTATTGCCTCCCGTAACCTGTAACCTGCTGCTGAGAATTTTATATATTATACATGTTATAATAAAGGGTATGCTTACTTCGAAAATTAAAGTTACATACTTAAAAACCGTAGAATATAATAGGTAAGTCAAAGTCAAAATAATTTATTTCAATTAGACCAGGAAGGCATTTTTGATCGCCAACAAAAAAGTTTAAAAGTGAAGTGATTTGCTCATTTGAAGGTGTAGATTCCTATGGAGAAGAACGAGCAAGAAACTCCATAGGTTTTTTTTTGTCAATCAGGTTCATAATACAATTCTCTAGTTACATCGTTTTCTCGTTGGTTCGATTGTGTGAGAACAATGTAACACCAAAATCCAGTCAAAGAGATCGAAGAGTAAGGGATCATTCCATAAGATCTATTCCAAAAAAAATCATATAGGATTTCGAAATGTTGAATTACATGACGGTAAATCTGTTATCAGTCAGATTGATACTTCACTCACTTCACAACAGGAGGGAACCTGAAGCCCCATGCGACCTCCTTAGGGAGATAGGATGTCTGGCTCTGAGTAAATGTTCCCATTGATGCTGAGGCACCTTTCAGACTCACTGTAATCTCGTAGCTGCGAACAAAGAAGTTTTTATACTTATCTTACGATATGACAGTTACCTTTAGTTAGAAGCTTTAACACATAAACACACGCCTTTTATCCCCGAAGGGGTAGGTAGAGGTGCAGATTACGGCACTTAATGCCACTGTACAATGTAAGAATCACTTTTAACTATTTATGTTATGAGTCCCATATAATAGGGGGTGAGCCTATTGCCATATACCGGGTACAATTCCACTGAGAATTTGTTAAATACCCGGTAATACTTTGCTTGACCAGGAAATGGAACCAAATCGCATTTGCGAGCACTTTACCAACGAGGCAGTCTTAAGATATGAGCTGATATTTGATTCAACCAAGAAAGTGGTAACAATATCCTTATTGGTTTGGGTAGAAATCAGAATGTCGTCAGTCTCCTCTACATAGTTTGCTTGGCTTGTACATCGAAATATGAGAGGTACAGGAGAACCTTTTGAATTTTATTTAATTTTCAGTAAATACAGAAACATCATACCTATTATGTGCAATCAGCTCTGGTGTATACCCGAACAGAGGGCTGGTCTCATCGATTACATGGACCAGTGTCACCGGCCACAGCAGGAACTGTCGCTGCTGTAGCGTGAGACAGCGCGCGTAGTATCGAATCACCTCGCCTTCCTTCGTTCTGTAACAGCAATGGACAACGTTTTGGGGAAAAATATTGTTGGCAAATTATTTTTGTGATTGTTTGATTTTTCACACATTCAAAAGATGGGTTGAATTGATAGATCTTTAATTGATTTACCTTCAGAGAATGAAAGATGTTGAGTCATATTAGATTGAAGATTTAAATCACGGGAGGCGCTATCACAATGTGCATACTGCTGAATTTTATACAGTTTTGTATTACTAACGCCATCTACCGATTAGGCATAAAAGCAACAATGGAAATTAGAAATTAACGACACCTGTAGGTGTTGACAAAGTGTGCAGTAAACTCTGAGCTGATGATGTGATCATAGTTGAGGTCCCAGGCTCTCATCATCAGGCAGAGGCGGCCGTCACGCATGCTGATCTGCAATATAATAATCATCATTAGGATACTATTTTATCATGACTGCTCGCTACATATATTCGGTGAGTTCAAAAGATTTGATGTTATTTCTCAGAATAATAGATATAAACAGCTTAAAATTCTTACCACAGCCTTTTTGCTGAAGCCAACGCCATCTCTGGATAGTTTTTCAGGTCTAGTTAGCTTGGCATACACAACACAAGTCAAGACTCCCGATAAACCAGTGCCCAGGATCAACTAAAATTGGAAGGCTAATAATTAATAATTTACTCAGTTAAAAGTCTGACTTTTTATACACATGTGTAACAAATTGTTACGTGTACAAATAGCAAAACTAACACTCCACGATCTCAAACGACTACTATCGCCATCTCTTAAACAAGTCATAAACGAAGAAAGAAAAAGTTTATTTCTTTTCAACTAGATGGCGTTATGAGCACCTAACTTTATCCTTAATTTATTTACATGTGATTTACCAGCTGTTAATTACACGATTTCTATTATTTAAATGACACTGTACGACGGTCGTTGTAGTAAACATTAGTAGTTATAGATATTTGTTGTACGGTGTGTTATTATTCATTGTTTAGTAAGTTTCCTACGGAAATACACATCGGTAAATATGAAGTTGGTTGTTACAAGTGCATACATGGATCATTTTTACGGAATAACATGATCATAACAAGTAAAATCAATCTTTTGAATTTAGGCAACTGATACAGGATATCGTTATTGATCATCATCATCAACAGCCTATAAATGCCCACTGCTGAGCACAGCCTCTTCTCACACGAAGAAGGTTTGAGCATTAATCACCACGCTTGCTCAATGCGGGTTGGCGATTTCAAACTTATAATTAGAAATTATAAGCACAGGTTTCCTCACGATGTTTTTCCTTCACCGTTTTTCAGTGGTGTCTAAATAATCTTAGAAAGTACATATAACTCGGAAAAAGTCACATTGGTACTTGCCGTTGGTAGGATTCGAACCCGCACCCTCATGCATGAGAAGCGGGCGTTTTAAACCTCCGGGCCACCACGACTCTTGATGTTTCGTTATTGATGTTTAGTCTAATAACCTTCATGTGCTGCTTCTTAACCGGCTTACCTGCATAATGAAGAGGAATATAGATTCTGGACATTCTTCGTCTATCGCACGGTCCCCGAAACCAATCGTAGTCTGGAAACAAACATGTAAATTATACATCATTATTTGAACCACTGTGTATTTGTAAGGTTTGTCCAGTTATATGAATGAGGTGAAAACTAAAGAAGTGTAAGAATCGTATTAGGTAGCACTCTGTAATTTCTATCTGTCAAACTAACTATAATATATTGTATAGCTTTACTGCTGATTTTAATTCGAAAACTCTGCATCAATCTTGATTTTTGACAGATATTGTAGAAAACTCAAGTCAAAAGTCGACCTCAGTTTCAGGGTTTCGCATTGAGATCGATTTTTTTTTCTTTTATACCACGATAGTAGCAAAAAACCACACGGCCCACCTGATGGTAAGCGGTTACCGTGGCCAATGTCCATTTGCAACACTTGGGGCATTACATGCATCTTGCCGACCCTTAAGATCACTCCCCTTCACTCCCCTCATGAAGAACCCCATGTTGTAGCCCACTAGGAAAACCACGGCATTCCACAATCGGAAGGTTCGTGGGAGGAAATTCCTCTGAAACCGAACTGTACAAGACCATTTGGGCTCCGATTATTGAAACTGGCAGTTAGTCACATGAAATAAACATCTTAATCAGCCTTTGGACTCAGCTGCCAGAAATTGGACAACGGGCAACGAATTTTGGTACCTCGATTACCATTTTGATACCACCAACATTAACCAATCTACCTGTCACTTAAAGAACAATGGCGGTCCCAATTTCCAAGAGCAGTTCTTCGAGTAAAGCAGGATGTTCAGCTCAATAGTCCTTGATTGGTATAATTCACTCTTTGGCGGCAACAGCGCAACAGTCGACTAATTCAATTATGGCCGTGTCAATTATCGTGTTTTGTGCACGGAAACTTGGGTTTTGATCGGTAATTGTGGAATTTGGGTGTTTTTTGAAGCCGTTGTTGTTTTCATTCCTTACTTTCTCATCATTTTGTTTATATTGAAAATGAGTCGGCGTTTAGTCACTATTTCTATTGTTGATAAACGAAACGACCTACGACGGAGCACGCCTGCCTTAAGCAAACTATTTACTATATTCTCATCGGTTTTAGGTAGTTTTTATTTGTTCCTGCTAACTATATTCTAACTAAATTATACTATATTGTGAACTTTTTGTAAAGCAGAGAACGATACACGTTGGTATCATTCAGTATTTGAGGAGGCCTCACGACTCCTAACTTAGTAAAGATCTGATCTACCTTTATTTAATTCAGTTTAGGTGGGAAATCATGAATTGTCATGATGCAGCGTTGATGGTCTATTCATAGCTAACCAGTAACACCTTGAGACAATGTATGTCTTCCTTATTTGATGCTATTTCGGCCACGGGAACTAGTGCTAATGATGAATCTATTTGTGCGTGATTGCACGGTAAGCTGTTAGCGCCCACGTTGCTGTGAGATGGGACGGATGATTGTCGCTGGTAACTGAGCTTGAAATACTTTATGGATCCTAGAACAATTTGATGGTACTTACACCGAGAATCTCTAAGGACATCATTTTTATTTTAGAAGCTTGAGAGAAAACAGGCGAGCAGTAGAGATAATTCAATAATTGAATATTTTAAAGCACTTGGTTATAAAAGGCTGCCTCGTTGGACGAGTAGTCGCAAGTGCGACTGCCGTGCATGAAGTCTCGAGTTCGATATCCGGATCGGGCAATTTATTACTAGATTTTTTTAACCATGGGAAAATTGACAGGTACTTTAAGGATAGACTTTATCATAAATAGGTATCACGGCAAAATTGTTGTTTTCTAATATTCCATTACTACAGCCTCAAATAAGTCAACAATATCAACGTATGGACTCGTGCACGTTTCGACGGATGCGTTTTGTTGATTAATCTGAACAAAATCACAGAGAATTTGACTACAATAGCAACTATTTGCAGTCCACGTGAGGTCGGATTGAGAATAGGTACGTCCTCTATATTTTCACGTGCTTCTAAATCTAGAGTATTGGCCTTTGGAGGTCAAAGTCGGAATGCAAGTTTGATATTAAACTGTCAAACACCAAGCGGTCACCGGTGACCGCAACCTATTGTTCTATAATTGTGTCTACAAAACCGGTACTCGACGAGTTAAAGGATACCTTATTGAGTAGAAATTTTGAAATGCTACAATTTTTTCAATCAATGCGTTCATTTTGTATTATCGTTCAAACAATGTTCCTGTTTTTGAATTCTAGCAATCTCGTAGTAAAGAAGAAATACATACAAGTAGTAGTTATTAATGACTATTTCTCATCATCCTCATCATCACGCCTTTTACCCCCAAAGGGATAGGCAGAGGTGTACTTTACGGTACCAACTAAATCCCACTGCACAATGTAACACCCTCTTTTCACTATTTATGTCAAGAGTCCCATGTAAAAAGGGGTGAGCCTATTGCTATATACCGGGCACGATTCTAGACTCCATGGTAATACTAAGATTTTTTTACGAACCCAGTAATACTTTGCCAGACCCGGGAAAAGAACCCGAGGCAGGGGCCTCGGGTTCTTTGAGACTGCTCGCTAGGGAGCGAGCAGTCTTACTTGCGACCACTCGGCCAATGAAGCAGTCTATAATTGGACGTGTGAATTTTAGATTCCCGTTAAAATAAATATTTTCACAAGTTTTCTATTAGCATGGTTAAGGTACTTTTCATTTATACTTTCCTTGTCTTAAATAGGTTTTATCTTGTCACTTCCACTATAAGTCTCCAATCTCATATAAACATGGTCCACGGCCCTTATAATATAATTCAACCCACTTATTCCGGGGGCGACTCGAGTAAATCGTCGCTAATGCAATAAATGGCAATCTCAACTAATGTGTCTGTCTGTCTGTCCGTCACTTTAGAATGAGGGTAATTGTTTGTGTTAGTATTACTGTAGTTATTTGGACCTTTGTTGCTTGTTTCGTCCTTTATGAGGATTGATACACATCAATCCTCAGACACATGGACACACATATCTGGTGTTTGTTTCGGGTTGTTAAACAAAGGGTTTTTAGAAGAAATTGTTGCACAGTCATTTTCTTTTGTTTTATCATCTCCATCAACGCCCTTTGACAGTCCATTGCTAGAACATGAACATCCTCAATCAGTCCTCGTCCTCATTAAGCTCACCTCATGGTGAGCGATCAGCGCCGCCCCTGAACACCCGCAACACTAGAGGAGCCACATTTAAAATGAACACGCTCTTTTCTTCAAGGTTTCTCCTCTATATAAGAGGGTTTGCAACCAGCCAGAGTTGGAGACAGTAGTTTAAAAGCTTCATGTTCATTAGAAAGTGCTACTGCCTGGACACTATCAAACTTCAGTTTTATATTAAGCGCGAATTTTGTAAATTATCTTGAATCATCAATGAGATTATCTTGAAGATAAGAATGCTTGGCACCATGTTAGTTTGGCTCCACTGGACAATACTCAAATGTAGTTAGTAGTTCAGATTCCAATAATAGGTCATTTAATACTTTGATTCTGATGAAGGCAATCTTCTACATTTCTTTCTTTATTGAAACAATGGTTTCTATATTATGGATTGTCAGTATGCATATGTGAGCACCAACGTATGAGTTAGACTGGTATTAATAGCTGATATTGTTATTAATGTAAAAATGTAATGTTCTCGTTCCGTGAATCCAATTTGCTACAGACCAAAGTGCACTGATGAAAGCCCGACTTAATAAGACGTGTTTGACGAACTTAATCTTAATGAGTGACGCCGGTTTTCATCATTTAATAAACTAAACTATGTTTATTGTCGTCTGTCAAAAGATATACCAATAGGCTTGCAAGAAATTTCACTATGTGCGACGTAACTGGAAATTGTAGCATGAGCATTTCCTTAAACATGTTACATGAATGATAGTGATTAATGGACTGACTCTCATGCCATCCAATCCTTCGTAATAAACTCCACCGTGACAAAACATCAACAAGAAAAATATTCTTATCGTACATGCCCAATATTTAATGAACATGTTTTTATAATAGCTACCGTGAGACATATTAAACTAAACAAAAATCGCGGGTTACTCACGAGAAAATATCAAGATAAGCTCTACTAGTTTCGAACCACAGAGGGGTTCTTTCTCATAAGCAGCGTGCGCGCGGATGCGGCGATGTCGCGCAGCCTACTCGCGCCCTACTACAGCCTATAATGACTTTATAGCATTTAAAACGTTATAACACGTATTGTATAGATATATGTTATGGATAAGACGGTACCGTCAAGTCTGTTTTTAGGATATACAGGTTATATGATTCAAGATAATTTACAAAATTCGCGCTTAATATAAATCTGAAGTTTGATAGTGTCCAGGCAGTAGCACTTTCTAATGAACATGAAGCTTATTGTTCCAATTTATTCAAATTACACTTACTTTTATATGCCAAATTGGAAGTCTTTGCGTGTTGGTGGGGTGCTCAACGTGTGAGCATTGTTTTAATGTACCTCGCCATTATTTTAATTCTCGTAATTAAGTTGAGTGTTTTAATTGTGATCATTCCGCCACTCGTAAACTATGCTGGAGTTTGGTGTCCTGTGGTCGGCGGCTGTTTCTTTGAGGGTACGCGTCGGAATGAATCAGAGCTCAGCAGAGTTGTCACTAAAACTGTCTTTGTAATCAAAAATGTGAAATAACCCCCAATTAATTAAAAAAAAAAAGAGTAAACGTCAAAAGTGACTAACTCTTATAATTACATTTTTACATTTTGTTTGTATGTATATATGTACATGTACTATCGGATATATATATTATTCTATTCTCAATTTTTCACACACACACACACACACACATATTCAGCTAAATTTATATTATTTATACAATTTCATGTTTATTTTCTGTCTTCATTGAGGGGCGGCACCGCCGTCCGTGAGTCACTGCAGGGTGCCACCTGAAAACCAGCGTTGGGCACAAACGTCCAACTATATGCTGAGGTGGAGGCCCTTTTGGCATTAGCACGCGCAAATTAAAATTAATATTATTGTTTTGTTATATTGTGATGTTTTGATAAATTGTCTGTTCTAATCTCTATTCTTGTAAGTTTATTATTAGTATTTTGTTTACATATGTATTTTTATTTTTTTATATTCTTTGTTTTCTGTGCGTGTAATTGTCAAATAAATGTTTTTTTTCTTTCTTTCTTTCTTTCATATGGTCAGCATTATCAACACCGCCCGTAGAAACCCACAACACCAAAGGAGTTGCCTATATTTAGGATCGTGGTTACATTTTAAATAACGTAAACCAGAAATAGGAATAGTCTCTCACCTGTGCTTCAACAGAAGCCAAGAATATCGTTACGAAATCCTTGCCACCAGTCACACAGGTCTTTTTAGGCGGGTCAGGTTCGAAGTCGTAGTGAGCCAGGGCCGTGATGTACCAGAAGACTGCGAAGACCAGCCAGATCGCGAAGTGGACCACTATCGTGCCGATGACGATCCAACGCCAACGTAAGTTGATCTGAAAGGAAAGATGTTAGCAGTATTTTGATGGTTTATGATATTTTATTTTTATGGCATAAGCCGGTAAACGAGCAGACGGATCACCTGATGGTAAGCAATCGGCGTCGCCCATGGACACCTGGAACCGGCTTTTTAGTGATAAGGAACTTGGTGATTGTTGGGGATTCAGGGATTGGGAAGATCAAAAAGGGGGGGAGGGGATAGAAATCGGTAACCTCACTCACACAACTAACTGTGAAAGAGATAGCACCACTTACCAAAGTATGAAAAGTATCATTCAGCAACCGAATCTTCTCGAATGGCACATTCGATATGAGAGCTATATTCTCCATGCCGGTCTTGGAGACCAGGCGCTTGGGATGGTCTCCGTACCCTGGCCGCGTGCGCTGGGGATGTCTGAAATCACTATACAATATATAAACATTAGGTACTTAACTAACTTGACTCTGATATTACGGTTGAAGTGGAATAGCGACTAGTGTTATTGTGGGTTTGATTCAAAATAATTGTAGGTGTGGATATATCGTGATTTGTTCGTAAAAAAATGCAACAAAAATACACCAGCCGAATTGCGAACCCTCTCTCTTTTAGGAAGTCAGTTAAAATGGTATCTGTTTATAACATAACATAACGCTTTTATCCCCGGAGCGGTAGGCAGAGTGCACATTATGGCACTAAATGCCACTGTACAATGTAACACCCACTTTTCACTATTTATGTTACGAGTTTCATGTAATAGGGGGTGAGCCTATTGCCATATACTGGACACATTTCCAGACTCCGTACTACTACTGAAATACCCAGTAATAGACTACAGAAGAACCCGAGACCTTGCCCGGCAGTTGCACTTGCGACCACTCCGTCAATGAGGCACCTACCTATTCATCATCATCAACAGCCTATAAATGCGCACTGCTGAGCAAAGTCTCTTCTCTCACGGAGAAGGTTTGACCATTAATCACCACGCTCGCTCAATGCGGGATGGCGATTATAAACTTATAATTAGAAATTATAAGTCCAGGTTTCCTCACCATATTTTCCTTACCGTTTGTCAGTGGTGTCTAGAGTCTAGATAATCTTAGAAAGTACCAAAAGTACTTTCGAACCAGCACCCTCATGCATGAGAATCGGGCGTCTTAAACCTCCGGGCCACCACGACCGATGTCACCTACCTATTACTTAAACAAAATAGGGCAGTGTAAAGAAAGGTGTGATGGCTTTATCCTGACTTGACAACTGATGTTACCTTTAAATTACGTAATAACTTTATGTCATATAGCTTTCAATGGAGGCGTACCCATCTTCAGGATTTAATAAAATCCAGTGTTGATTTGCTTACTATGATAGTACTAGTAAAATATGGCCTCAATGGTCATTAGATTAGCGTTTAAATTTAGCCACACAGGTGACATCGACCTTAACATCAATCTGACATAATCCTCGGCACATTCTCGTCAGATAAGCTATGCAAACAGGTGGGCACGAGGAAGCCTTCAAAACTAGAAGAAGTTGTATTGGTGACATTTCTTTTACACGAAATTACTTTATCTGTATGTTTGATGAATAGATTTTAGCTATTCCGTAGAAATACCGCCGATGACAGATCATTCCACAGTTTTGCTGTGCGAGGCAGGAAGCATCGTGAGAAGCGCACAGTTGTGGACTGCCAACCATCCCTATGATGGGGATGCTATGCATCCTGTGTCCTGCTGTCGTGAGCGTCGATGGCGGTATCACGTCAAACAATTCCTCAGAGCACTCCCCGTGGTATAAGCGACAGAAAATGCATAATGAAGCTACATCTCTACGCATTGCCAAAGTGTCCAGCCGGTTTGAAACATCCCGACTTATATCCCGATGTATAACTTAAATAAGTAAATAATTTAAGAATCTGTCTGTTCTGTGTGTTCATTTAAGAATAGTTTCAAACAACACAAAATAAGATAATTTAAGTCAATCTCAAAAAATCTCCTCCACGTCATTCCTTGTATAATTTCCAAAGTGCGTCACTGGTAACATTACAGTGTAAACACAATATCTCTGCAGTCTGCGACTATTTGTACAAGATAATTACTATATAACATACACGTATACATAGTTAATACTTTAATGTAATTTAATAACATAAGCCCACTGTTATTTCAAGAGCATTCTTAATTACAGACAACGTAATATAGGCTTTAAGACTTCTGAAAAAAGTCAGGTGGAGTTTTGTGATTGGTGCATTACTTTATGTAAGATTTTTATGAACATTTGTGTACAAAAATACGGCAATAGGCTCACCTCCCATTATATGGGACATATAGGATATAAATAAGTAGTGAAAAGTGGGTGTTACAGTTTACAGCGGCATTGAGCGCCATAATGTGCACCTATGGTTATCCCTTTGAGGATAAAAATCGTGATGTTATGTAATGTTATGTTGTGTGCAAGATAACGTATTTAGTAATTTATATTTCAGAAACAATTATACACAGAATAAATATTTATACGTAGGGAATACAATTACATTAATGTTACCCTGACTTCTGATGGGAGGATCATAAGTACAACCCTTCTATTGCACTTCTTACTCTTTTGTAAAGATGTAAAGAGACCTATATTTCTAAGGGTGTGTCCACATCTGGCAAATGTTCCGTGAATGAGCACATCGTGGCATCGACCTGCGCTCGTGCATTTAATAATATTGTTTATAGGCCTTGCATAATTGCACTAAAGAGGTCCGCCAAACCATTGCCGAAACTGCACGCGCGCAGCACGCAAACGGCTTGCGAGCTGCACATTCGCGTAACATTCGACAAATGTGGACGCGCCCTAAGATAAATCTATGGGTAAAGAGGTAACTCTTCACCCATATCATTATATCATAGCATCGTATCATAGACAGGCGGAGCACCAAACTCTCTACATACTTACTACTGGTATCACTAACAATTACGTAAATCGGAAATCTTTACAGCATTCGTTTTACCCACACATGCGATCTCAGATCACGAACTCGCCTTTCCCCCAACAATCAGTCGATCAAGGAAACAGACAACACAAAATAATATTAAATACGATGAACTTACCTGTTAGGCGGCACCTTTTTCTTTTCACTAGAAACATGATTGTAAGGTTTCATAGATTTCGGCATCTTCCTATCCATACTCGACATACTATCGCGCTCTTTCAAACTGCTGTCGAAATTCAATACATTCTGATGATGATGATTTATTACAGGCATACTGTAATCCGGTCTGGGCAAATGTCTATCAATTTTAGGTAAAACTCGATCACTTTTAGACATCTCACCTCGTAAAGGCTTCTTAATTTCATCTTTTTTCAAGTCTAAACTTGTTGTGCTCTGAGTTATAATGATCTTAGGTAGTTGTTTTGATAGTTTTCGAAGCCTCTCTGATCGTGGTTCTGAGATCACGGAGTTCAGACTCTCCATAGATTTTTCATTCTCTAGTTTAAAGACTGTTTTTGCTTCGCCGATTTCGTTATGTTCGTTCTCTTCATGACGGTCTTCTTGACGGTCTTCTTTTTGGTCTCTTATAGTCTCATAGTCCGGGTCTTCTATTGAAGCTCTATGTTGTTCTACAAAATGTTTGTTTTCTTTCAAATAGTTCAAACACTCGTCGTAAAGTTGATTAATTTGTTCGTATTCGGAGTTTCTTTTCGTTTCCACTTCCATGTTTATTTAATTTGAAAAATTTGTCTCAAAATTATTATTTTAATATTGTAGAAATTATTTTATAAATACATATGTCACAAAAATCCATTAACTACATCAATAAAATAATAACCGTAATAATAATCCCACATTTTAATAACTCACAAACGAAATAACCAAAGTCATTTAAAAATAAACTCACTCACACTCAAAATGAAATGAAAAAATAAACAATGTACACTTTCACGTAATTTTTTGTGCGAAACTGTGTGATTTGGTAAGACGATGTCCTGTGCGCGTTATCTCGTCTGTTATCGCGTTATCTTGTGTTAATTGTGATGCGCGCTCTAAGCACAAGATCCGGAGTGACCTTGCTCAGAGCACGGAGGGCCATTCTGCAATGACATCTTCTTACAAATTCATTACTTGTATATTTGTTGTTGTCTCTATGTATTTATTTTTGTTTCTGCTATTAGATTAATGTTCATAATCATATTCATATTCATATTCATAGTCATATTCATATTCATAGTAATGGTTGGGTCTGGGTTTAGTTTTTCTACAATTCAATAGTGTACAATAGTCTAGGAGACTGACTAACAAGAAGATATTTTTATCTATTAATATTAATTAATTTTTCGATGGTTAAATGATAAGACTTTGACTTCAAATGTATGTATCTGTTTAGGATTTTTATCAGCTGATGAACATCTGTTCATCTAATTACCATAATCATCATCATAAAATATTCACCACTGAACATAGGCTCCAAGGATTTCAACCAATTCCAGACCAGTCAGATGGACCTCACGTGCTACCTGTGACAGATCATATATTCACCTTGTTAGTGCAGATCGTGTGCGTTTTAGGCTTTTATCTAGAGGTAGTTAGAGAATCTCAAATGTTATATTAGTAAGAAAATTAATTAATTGCTAATTTTCTCAGTAAACAGAATTGATACAATGGAACCTGCCGTATTTTTCCTCGCCAGATGGTGCTAGTATGACCCTCTCGTTCTTCGTCCAATAAGGAATTAGCTACTATCACCCCAATAGACGTACTATGTTTGATGAATGCTGGGATTCGAATAAAAGTCTCCTCCTTCTTTTACGCCACCTGGTGGTATCGCCATAGTGTTCCACCAACCACCTCTGTTAAAAATATTCCGTTTACCAACTACCTATTTGCACGGAAATACATTAAATAAAATATTCAAAATATAGTAATAACTGAGCACCACTACTTACTCACTCTGTGACTCCCAATTATCACCCAACTCACATGACAATCTATTTAACAAAATTAGCACTTAAAATAATTCAGACAAGATACAATTTAGCAATGAGTCTATCGTATTAACACTAGGCTATTGTGATATGATGTTCTAGCAATTGAGTGTTTATTTTCGAGGTCCTAGCGTTCGATTTATGGTTAGTAATATTTTCTTTAGAAAGCCAGTAATAATGTTGACCTGGAGATTTAACTCATTTGCTGCTCAATTCTAAAAGGTAGATTTGATTTAGTCAATTGAATACAAATGCTTTTCACTGACCGGCTTTAGCATTATTTTATTGAATTGTCAATTTTATAATATGAGAGAACATCGACTAATTCGTTCCGTCTTTTCGAGACCAAATACACCGTTCGACGCATCGCCCTAAAATTAACTAATAGATACTATCTACTGTAGTATTATCTTCTAATTTTCTGATGATTAGGTATACCTTACTTAACATGTGCACTAAGTATTTCTATTCCCAGGTAGGATAAAATTATTTTAAGTTCATTTTGAAAAACTGTCAATAAATATAGCACAGTGTTTAAATACATTAAACGTTGTTCCACATTAGGTTTTTTTACGTAACTAATAGGAGGTAACCAGGCAGACGGATCACCTGATGGTAAGCGATCAACGCCGCCAAATGACACCAGCAACACCAAAGGAGTCACTGATGCGTAGCCGATCTTTTATAAAGGAATACGCTCTTTTCTATAAGGTTTAAAGGTTGGTTCGGAAATACCACCAACGACAGATAATTCTACAGTTTTGCTGTGCGAGGTGGAAAGTTACTTTAATTTAGTTACATGAGACTCCTGTGTCATGGGTTTTTATACAAACAGATAAATTCACATACACTTCAGTTGAAAACTCGATGTCCTGATGACTGTACTCAGAGGAAAGTGACGAAATATGGAATAGTATCCCTAATATGGAATACCGTCTATTCTAAGAAACTATAATTCACACACGCAAGAAACACTGTTTGTCTCTTCGTTTCTATCCCCATCTGCAGGTACAGGCTGTGACATATCAGTCGAGTGAGCCCATTCGTCAATATTGCAGTGTTTTGTTTTGCCGCTTCTGCATAACTTTCTAACGTATGTGAAAGATACGCATTTTTCCTTTAAAAAGTGCACATCGTATTGTTTTAATAACTTTTAGAGACAGTTTAGATGTTCTTTTGTCGATTTCGGTGGTATTTAATTATATTTATTTCTTAAATATAAAAATATTAATGTCAGTTTAAAGTCGTTGCAAAATCCAATTATGGAATGGTCCATCGTTTTGTTTGATACAGACAGTGAGCTTTGATAGAAAATACAACTCCAGACTCTGAAGATTCGGAGCGTATTTTCTGTGGTATTCTGTTTTCAAATGATACTCATAGAGAAACATGGGTCAAGTGCCTCATAATGTGGACTCTGGTCACATATTGATTACCCCGGAGTAGAGACTGATGCCAGAATTTGTGACTTTTGCAAATACGTTGTGTTCTTTTCTATGTTGTACCAACCTTTCTAAAGAGTTTTATTTAAGTTCCGATTTAGTTTTAATCGTATTAATAGCACTTATTCCATATTTGGGGTACCTATTCCAAATTTAGGTACCATTATTGTCGTTTAGTTTTTTTTTAATTTTTAACTCAAAAGAAAGAAACGTATGCAATTCTTGTTACAAAATAAAGCGAAAATATATAATTGTTGTAATTACCACAAAAAGTTTTATTATTTGCAACGTTTGTGAAAATTATGCGTAAGAAACAAAATGGTATTCCATATTTGGTCACTTTCCTCTACTGTATTTTTGCTGTACATTTCCAAAGCCAATATCAATGTGTTACGGAATAGCCCAACCCGGCAACAATACAAGAAGCGGTTAAATTCAGAGTGCGACGTACATACACACAACAATACATACATACAGACATATGTATAAACAAATGTATTTATCATCAGTTACCTGTTTAACATAATAATTACATGTTTGTTGTATTTTGTCACAGTATTATGTGGTGTTACAAATAATTCAGAGATTAATTTTGATAACATAACATCACATTTTTTTTTTTGGTTTGCAAGTGGCCGATGCGCATTTTTCTCATTTGTCCTGTAGACAGATAGTGCGTAATTTATATGTATAAGTATTTGGTAGTAATTGATTTATTGTAGCTTTCGAATCCTAGGCTTTGGCAGTATTTGCATGATTTTTAAATTAATGCATTAATTCTACCTAATTTTTAACCGACTTCAAAAAAAGAAAAGGGTTCCTAATTTGATCTGTATGTTTGTATGTTTGTGTGCGATTATCTGAACTGATTTTGATACGGTTTGCAATTAAGGTTTGCGGTTTATTATACGTAGAAGTGTATTAATTAATTAATTAATTTCAAAAAAGAGAGGATTGAAGTCGGTTTTTTGAAACGAAGAATTCTTCTTATATTCTTAAGAATAGGAATGATGACAGGGTATATAAATTAAATATGTTATTAGTCCGTCAGTTAGATAATGAAAAAAATATTAGACACGTATTTTTTTATTTAGTTGTATAATAAAATGATACTTAGATAATTATAACGAATCAAAGTTTAAGAGTGGGGGCTAAAACGTCATTTCTACGTATAAAATGTACATAGAAGTGACGTCACGCAACATTTCAAATCAATATATGTCCGAAACTATTCGTTTCCGTGAAAAAATTATAAATACGTGTCTAATGTTTTTAAATAATCTACCAGACGGACATTAAAATAAAAATTAGTGATCTACCCTATTGTTGGATTATAATAAAACTTGACTATTGTTGATGGCCGTACGATATTATGGTGACATCAAGCTGATTTAAGGATGAAATAAGAAGGACACTGATGGCACTTCATTAAAAAATTAAGTCTTACTTATGAATATTGAACGCAATAAATAAAATACATAATATATAGGCATTAAATTTATTACTGCCTCATTTTGACATTCAGTTTACATACATGGTGTTCATTTTCAAATTCACTCACAAACATGTGTTAAATCATTTAAAATGATATAATAATTTATTATTTTAATGTGAAATAAAATGTTAACGTTACTTATGTAAAAAATTTAATAGATTTTCACTCAAGTTAAATGTTTTTTGTGTAATTTGATTTCTTAATTATTGTTTGAACTTTGGCTTTTGTAATTTTATTTAATAACACGATATCTTATTGGTTTCCCCAATTGTTGGAAAACTACACGTAGTTCTATATGCAATTAGTAACATGAACAACATTTTTTCATTCTCTAGAGGTAAATCAATGAACATTTATACTTTAAAAAATAGGCATGTAATAAATAGTCTAGAAACTGAACATACCTATGTTTCATTACTACCAATTGAACTGCAATGTAAGTGTTTAATTCGTTAATTTATATCATAGTCAAACTAATATACAGTATAATAGTTAAGTATTGGTAACATATATAAATAATATCTGAATGAAGACAACTTGAAATATATCTAAGTACATTCTAACAACATTAATTTATTTATATATATTTAAGTAATGAACATTTTGAACACAAACTTTTTATAATAGGTAGGTACTAATATATTTTATTTTCTAAGTACTTAGAAGGAAGAATGATAAAAGTTCTTATATATATAATGAAAAACAATTCATATATTAGACAATAGATTTTTCCTAATAATTTAGTTTAGTATTAATACCACATTTTAATAGCGTAGCCAATAGAAATGTTTATATATCTATTAAAATTATTTTATATACCTACATTTTATACCTCATCATTGTAACCATATTATAAACCTTATGATAATATACGTAAGTATGTTTTTTGTAAGTCATGTAAAATGTTTGTTGAAACAACATATATTTTATAATGATTGGCTTAAAAATTGACATTAAATTATTTATTTTGGCATTTTTTTGTGAGTGAAAACATAATATGTATTAATTAGTTTTAAAATGCAATAGCAGTACTAATTTGTAATTTTATTATGCTTTTCTTACACATACATTGTTTTAAATGTAATGATGATGACCAAAATTATTTCCAGTCAATTTAAGGAGTCCAGATATTTGACTGCAAAATTTTTAATTACATAACATAACATCATGCCTTTTATCCCCGTAGGGGTAGGCAGAGGAGCACTTTATAGTACTTAATGACACTGTACAATGTAACACCCACATTTCACTATTTATGTTATCCGGCCCATGTAAATAGGTGGTGAGCCTATTGCCATATACCGGGCACAATTCTAGACTTCGTGCTACTACTGAGATTTTTTTTAAAACCCAGTAATACATTGCTCGACTCGGGAATCGAACCCGAGGCCCCTTGCCCGGCAGTCGCACTTGCGACCACTCGGTCAACGAAGCAGTCTTTTATTATAGAATTAGTTTTAAATTTTGGTTATTACAATTTAGATATCAAACATTTATATATTACTTATATAGCAGTTCGTGGACATTTGGTATACTTAGAAAGTATAATTATATATAAGATATATCATCTATTTTTATGCCTAAAAAACTATATTTTACTTCAGGTAATAAGGTGACCACAGGTTTCTAAATATTATACTTATACTATTACTTATATATTCTATTATATATAGAATTTCATTATAGTTTATACGACTGTTAAATATTAGGCATAATTATTATATTATATTATTAATATATATCTATTATAATGGAAGGAGGGAGATATTATATAATTAAACGTTTTGTATTGAATTAAATTAAATGCTTTGGTTAAAGAATATGATCAAAACTCAATATTTAATTTTAATTAGTATTAGTTATTAGTACAATTGTGAAGATAAATTGGATTGTCTCATTTGGCTTTAAAATTGCATAATTTGCTTTCTCTCTTTGACCTGAACACATTGCTTTCATTAAACAGTAATTTTGCAGACATTATAATATTTATATATATATTTTTTGTAAAATAAGAGTTAGCTTATTGTGGCATAATTATTAAAAAGAAGTTCTTTACAATGTATATAATTAAAGTAAGAAATCTATACCTTTCTTGCAATTTTATATATCGAGCAAGCCTAAAATGTATTTGGAATAAATAAGTAAAGGACATAATATTATATTCTTCCTGCATTATTCTTTTTATTCACTGACCCTTCATCAGTTAAATATCTTAACTTGCAGCATTTGGCGATATTTTGGCAAGAATTAAATTTGTAAATATATTTATTATTTGTTGTTGTATATTAGGTACTATTCGTTATACAATTTGGATAAAATGTCTCAAACCTAATAAAAGTGTGAATATAGGAAATATGAAATAGTCTATATCTTAGAAATGTCGTGTCACAACCCTATTATAAACTCTGAGAACACAACCCTAGGGAACTAAAACCATGATGTTTTGTGTATAAATATCAATTAGGTATATTTTTATAACATATTATTATAGCCATAATTTTAATATATTATTATTCTAAGAAAAATAATATAAAATTCGAAATATAAATAAAAAACACAAATTTAAAAATAACCATTTATTTATTGGTGAAATAAAATTGCAAACAAAAAATATAAAATGAAATAATTTACAACAGAGGTTAAAGATTTTTTTGATATAAAAATAATAAAATCACAACGTTTATATCATGTACTTTACAATATCTACAATATGTTTATATATCTATTAAGTATACAACGGTATAATATCTGCATATAACATATAATTTGTGAATATTATTATTTCACTATAACGAGTGAGTTCATTTAAAATGACGTAATTTCAAATAAAAATGAACTCAACAATTAATCAGTTTTGTTCGTTATTTCTTTTTATATTCTGGTAAATGCATTTATTTTGTTTTTATTTTTATGTAATTTATATTTGCCATACAATTTTTTTTCTTTTATGAATTAAATGACAATATTCACAAATTATTTGACTTCATTTAAAATCACAAAAAATCAACAATTAAAACTTACTGTATAATATCTACCTACTACGTTATTTTTAATTCAAACTATTCTGCATATGAATTAAAATTAGAAATATTAACAAACACTATTTACGTTAATCAAATTTGAATTTTATAACGTTTTGTATAAGATACATTATTGTAGCTGCACTGACTAGCCAAATCTCGCAAATATAATTTTGCTTTTAATGCCATCCTTATGTCTACGAAATAGAATTCAAATTTGATTGAACTAACTGTAGATAATGCTTGTTATAATTTCTAATTTTATTTCAATTTGAGACTAACATGTATAGTATCGGTATCGATGAATTGATCGATAAAATTAACGAGTAACTTTAAAACGATATGTTGCCTTTATGTTCAAATAAAGGTTTTTCGATTAATTCAATCGAATTATCGATACTGATATATTTTTGGAATCCTTACGTACTGTTTACGCGTCATAGTAATCTCGCGGACTGATGACGCCTTTCCTGTAAAAAAACATGGCATTAAGGAAAAGATAAGAAATAAGTATTTGGCATAATTATGTCAAGTAGTTATAATAGGAGTAATATCCGTTTAAATTAATTTCCAAGGCATTTACCTACTTATTGATTACCAATAATTATCATTTCCATTATTGATATCTTTGATAACAATGTGGAAATAAGGAAGTACGTGTTTTTCAACGAAATTTCTTACATATCGCATTGGTATCTTAGAGATACCAAATACTTAGAGGTATTATTGAAAAAACACATTTTTTTCTTAAAAACCAATATAAAACAGTGATTAAAATAAATAGATAATATCTATCGATATATTTATAATGTATCGCTCATAACTATGTACATTATGGATGCAATAAATACTTGATTACTTGATAAGTATGGGCCTCTTGCGTGCTTTGAAGTTATTTGAGGTCTAAGAGTAGTAACTACTACTACGTCAGTTAGCAGGACTGAATAACTTGAATAGTATAATACAATTTTTTGTTAGATAAAGTCATACTAATAGGTTAAGTTATAAAACAAAACTAAATTGAATTTTTTTCCGTTATCATCACCATTAACCAAGCAACAATGTGTAATCATTATTAAAAATTCAGTAGCTTGTGTTGTGTTTCATCGTATGAGGTATTTGTAGAGATTCCCAATTCCCAATAGACTGGTAACGTATTTGTTACGTCTCTGGTGTTCCAGGTGTCCATGGATGACGCCGATTGCTTACCACCAGTGATCCGTCCACTCGTTTACCGACTTATTCCATAAAAAATTGGTATACACATTATACAACTTAAAAAAATAACTATGCAAGAAATTGTGCTAAATATTGTTAGATTCTGGCAAACGAAAGTAGAGACTGAAAAAGCCCGGCAAATTTAAAAAATATCAGTATAGCAACCCAAAAATTAGTATGTCATACCTGGAGTAACCAGACGTGAAGACGTAACAAACAAACAAATTATTATAAAGTATCAAATTAGGTTACTCCAGGTATAACATACTAATTTTTGGGTTGCTATACTGATATTTTTTAAATTTGCCGGGCTTTTTCAGTCTCTATTTTCGTTTGCCAGACTTTAGCTACAAATTATATTTCATTTTAAATGAATGAATTCATAAATAAAATGAAATGAAAGTGTTAGTAATATCGTACCAGAGTGCACTACCGCTAGGGATGTGCCGGCTACACGTTTGTAGTGTACCTGTAAAGTTAGTGGTTAGTTACAGCACTAGAAGATACATTACATTGTTAGTTGAAGAAGAATTTGTTGAATTAATGTGTCTAGAAGTTGTTGGCGGATTTTCTTTAAGTTTTTTCGATATTAGTTTTGTCGATATTCTTTTTTTAAATCATTGTTTCATTTGCAAACTGAACAATTTTGTGCGTAATATATAAGTGTTAACAAATTTTACATTTTCTTCATATTTTCACTTCAATTGGCATGCAAGGATATGTTACAAAAATTATTATTTTATGTGTAATAAAATTAGAATTATTGAATTGAAAGAATAGTTATATCGTTAGCATAAAATAATGTTGTCAAATACATTCGAATTATTGTTATCACTAAACTCAAAAATTCTATGTCATATTAGATATTAATTTATTTATAAACAAGAAATGTCAAATAAATGTTACTATGCGACTTAATTTTGCTGAAGAATTTATTTGCAGTAAATTCTACGCAGTATTGTAACTGTAGTTCAACAAAATACTTCGTTTTCATGAAATTAAATAGAAGCATATTCATGACACAAGCGATTTTAACCTCTATTCTATTACTATAAGTACCTGTCTCGTGGTGTGATGACGTCCTCATCCGAGTCGAAGTCGTAGAGCTCGTCTCGGATGTAACTCTTGTTGGCAAAACCTCCCATGTCCACTGAAATTGAGGAAATATACTCGTAAATATTAAAAAAACTTCATTTGATTTTAGTCTGACTTGACGGACCACATTATTCAATTTTAAAATCTACATACATGCAGGTGCAGGCAGAGGTGCATATTATACCACTGTACAATGTAACACCCACTTTTCACTATTTATGTTATGAGTCGCATGTAATAGGGGGTGAGCCTATTGCCATATACCGGGCACAGTTCCAGACTCAGTGCTACTACTGAGAATTTAAAAAAAACAATCCTAGTTATACTTTGCCCGACCCGGGAATCAAAATTTGAAATCTTTCAGTATAAAATACATATTATACATATTAGGTAAGTATCCTTTCGATAGACTTACGACTTACGACGATACGACGATAGGAAGACGATAGACGATAGATGCCCATTGTAATTAGGTTTAAGCAGCTCCAAGTAAAGAGGTCAGTATGGTCCACTTTTTATCATACACCGAGCATAATTTCGAATTCAAAATTGAAAGCTAAGAAATAAGTTTTTTTTCGGAATTATGAGTTTAGTGTCTAGGATCACGTCAGTCATCGGTACCTGACCTTAAAGGGGGCTTAAAATCCACAACTTTATAATCATCGATGAAAATTTGAATGACTATGGAAATAGGTTTACCTCGTGTAGAGTCGTCGTACTTGTCATCGGCCCATTTGTAGTCATTCTCGGAGTAGAGCGGCGGGAGCGTCTGGTGCGGCGTGGGGTACAGGTCCAGGTGGCGCTTCTCGTTCTGTATGCTGTCTGTATCACCGTACACTTTCATCCTGGAATGTAATGAGGAGATGGTTAGAACTATGGCAAATACTTCTGTGGATATAGGAGTAAAAAGATCCCAATGGTATATATTTAAAAGACATTCGAAGCTTAACTCTTCGGTTCCATTAGCGTTGATGCGTCGAAATTACTAAAGACGAAATTCACAAAAACAATGCATTATTATCGACTCGTCACTATTCGCCGTGTAATCTCTTTGTTTCAGATTTACGTGCAAACGGCGGTCACTCGCTTTTGTTCTTGCAATTATTGCGATCTTTTTATTAATTACTTTACTCGGACAAATCAAGAAAACCGTAAAATCTAACATAAATCAAATCCAGTTAAACTTCTTGAAATATCAACAGATTTTTAGTCACGAGTCGAGTCGTCGACATACAACGACTACACAGCCCATAGACATAAGAAACATTTGCTATAACCTCTTTGCTTGACTTTTTTTTTAAGGGGGGAAAATCATCGAATGACTGCTCCCGCCTGGGTGAGGCGGGAGGGAGTGTCAGACTCTTACTGACTAAAAAACCACCCCGTTCCTTCTCCTGCATGTCGAGCCGGAGCCCCGGTTACCCGTTAGGTTCTCCACGACTCTTTGCTTGACTAGCGGGTTGTAGTGTGTTCAAGGGTCCAATGCTGCCTGGATTCTGTTAATTTTACTGTGAAGTCCCTAGTCTTTGTAAAGCTCCATTTGTCAGGTGAGCTGTGTTCCGATGTCGCGGCAGCAATTTTTCATGACATGCCCCATTAGCGCATTGCATCGTCGCGCGCCACGTTTTAACGAATCGAAGGACAAGAGACGAATCGCGAAAGACAGTAATCCGCTGATTGCGTTTGTACTGATACGCGTCTGCGACGTCGGGCGTCATTGCAACCCTGGTGGAGCATACAATGCGTTGTTCCGTTGCGACGACGACGTAAGGCAGCACAATGGGGAAGTGGGGCTTTGATCTTGTTGGTTCTTGCAAGACACGTGGTTAGAATAGCGGTGGTTACAAATGACCATTCAACAACCATCACAACGACCGGGTCTCGTGGCGAAACTCCATCTTGTAGTCTATCTGTTTGAGCTATCCAAGATTTGACGTACCTGGTGTAATCCTCGAAGCAGCTAAACCTCCATAGAGCGAAGGCAAGCATAGCCATGGAGATGATGACTCCAGCTGCGATCACCAGCCACACCATCAACACCGTCTGGTCGTCGGGGATCGCGTACTCCTGGAATATTAATCAGCATGATGTAAGGTATGAAATAAAGGGAATATTTATATTGGTTTCAATCCTCCAGACCAAAAGGTAGCCGTATTTAAAAAGACTCCAATGAAACTTTATTAAATTTCGAGACAGAGACAATAGTCAATATTAGCGCATCCAATCAACCTCAGAGAGTCTCGCAATGAACTACTAAACATATAACACAACACTAACTCACCGTGATACCGAAAGAGCGCAGTCTGTCAGCGAAATCATCCTTGATGATATAGGTAGTCCACATGTCATCCAGTTCCTTCGTGGACAGCCTCGGCTCTGACTCCTCGTCCTCTCCATCGTACTGCAGAGGTACTCCAAAGATCACCTCCACACAGTTCTCATAGTCTGGCCATTGGATGTTGCAGATTGCGGTCCTGGTGATCTGCGTTACTTCGTACCTGGAATCGGATATCAATCGGTTGAGTTTTAGGAATCGATGCCGATTAAAAAGTATTGATCGTATAGTTGAGTTTTAGAATCGGTGAAGAAATCGGCTACGTTAAATTTTGGGTATCGATTCCTCAGACCTACGTTGACTGGTTTATTTATCAACTATGTATCGTAGTTAAAGTTATATATACTGCATTCTTCAATTGACTTTATTGGTCTGCACTCTGGAGTCGTTTTAATTAAACTAAATAAATAAATAGTGCACTAGTTTCTGTAATTCAATTAGAATGATCTTAGGGCACTCTACTAAATTCGAGGGTGATCTCATGAAAATGATTGGAGATAGATCAGATCTAGACCATCAAAGACGCATTCATTGAGGCAAGGAGACGAAATAACTTTTATTTAAACGAGTTAACAATGGGGGATTTCGGTATGAACTGTCTGTATCTATGTATGACCGCGATTATTGCCGGATTAGCTGAAGTGATTTTGATGCGTTTTTCAAAAAAGTTTTTATATCGTCGTGTGTTCAAGACTTTCTCGGTAAATTTTGTACCAGAATAAATGTTAGTGTTCCACAAACACCTCGTTAAAACCCGTATAATGTCATAATCGGAAACAAATAACTGATTTTATATCTTTAAAAATAACGTAACATAAACAGATCAAGTTATAAATTATAAATAACTACGTCATATGTGTAATGAATATGACGTAGTACATAAATAAATAAACGATAAACCGTGTTCAGTGTTCAGCATTGGAGATCTTATAATAGATCAGTGTCAGTGGTTATTATCCACTGACTGACTGACTGAAGGTCATGCCATCATTCATGTTTTCATTACAATTTTAATATATATTTTTTTGAAAATTATACTTTAGTAGCTTCTGCCAGCGAATTCGTTTTCATAAATAAGTGATTCCCGTTTTCGGCGTCCCCGTGTCAATTTAGGGAACTTCTTGCTTAAAGTCCCCAAACAACACATGCTAAATTTCAACTTCTTATTGCTTTTTAATGATATGACCATGTTTGAAACAATCATTTATAGTTTTTTTATTTCAGAAGTTGATTCCGTAGTCCCATTAAGGATTGACGTTGTATTGTCGTCTCACATATAGGTATATACAATAAGTAGGTAAAGAATCAGATAGTGTATCAATGGGCCTTCACTGTCAGTCAGACGGACGGATAATTTAATATTTGACGTTTCAAAAGTGCCTAATAACGAATTAATTGAAATAAATGCTTTGACTTTGACTTCGAAATTGTACTATCAATTTTTAAATGTCTTTGTAGATTTTTTTTATATTTAAAGAAAAATATTTTAAGTTGACCGAGCCTAGGTACTTTATGCAACTTGAATGGTGACTGACTGAACAAGCACTCCCACAGAGTACCACCGTGGAGTGATGACGTAATGTTACTGCGTGTAATCTGCTAACTGAGAGTTCCACTGTTTTATGTTTGAATTTGATTTTCGAATACACATAAAAAAAGCAGAAAACTATGCATAGATTTACTAGATTGCATAGATTTTAAGTGTGGGAGAGCTATGCTTCGGCACGAATGGGCCGGCTCGACCGGAGTGATACCACGTCCTCACAGAAAACCGACGTGAAGCAACGCTTGCGTTGTGTTTCGTCGTGTGAGTGAGGCTACCGGAGGCCCAATTACCCTCCCCTTCCCCAATTTCCCCAATCCCTGAATCCCCAACGATCCTCAAACTCCTAATCCCCAAAAGGCCGGTAACGCACTTATAACGCCTCTGGTGTTCCAGGTGTCCATGAGCGACGCCGATTGCTTACCATCAGGTGATCCGTCTGCTCGTTTACCGGCTTATGCCAAAAAAAAATAGATAATATGTAGGTACTATGAATTAGAAGTTTAAACATTTAATAAAATTAATTCCCATTGACTCATTGAACATGTAGATTGAGGCGTTCACCTTAACTTCAAAAACTGATAATTAGTTAGCCATTAGTCAAACAAAAGAATTATTATTGAGTTCGGTGTTAAAAGAAATTTGACAGCCCTTAATATATCATCGTCGCATAACGTTAACAAAAGAACGATGCAGCCCTATTGTTTTAATGTCAATGACCTTTTAGAGTTACATACATGAAGTTCCTATGGGTAAATTTTGAAAATCTGACTTGGGCTGGGGCAAACATGCAGACGGATCACCTGATGGTAAGCAATCGACACCCGTACCTAACAGTAATCAGTTACAAGTACGTTTTGAGGACTGTGAGATTTTGTCATTGGAAAAGAAGGGGGGAGGGGGCAAGTTCGTCAATCTGTATGTCTGTTTAACGTCAGACACAAAATGATGGCTGTCAACATCGTTGCAAGCGATAAACAATCTTGGTCTATGACGCACAAGGTATAATTAGCAATAACTCTTGATTAGAAGTATATTATATAATTATATACTTTAGTAACAATGGAATGCTTCGTTGGCCGAGTAGTCGCCAGTGCGAATCTGGGCAAGGGGGCTCAGGTTCGATTTTCGGATCGAGTAAAATATTACTGGGGTTTAAACAAAAATTCTCAGTAGTAGCACGGAGTCTAGAATTATGCCCGGTATATGGCAATAGGCTTACCTCCTATTACATCACTCATAATATAAACAGTGAAAAGTGGATGTTGCATTGTACTGTGGCATAAAGTGCCGTAATATGCACTTCTGCTTACCCCTTCGGGATAAAAGGCGTGATGTTATGTAATGTAATTTAGTAACAATAGCTTCTATCCTCTTTGCATACAAGTATAATTATAAAGATGTATCCTTACTAATATTATAAATGGGAAAGTGAGTTTGTTTGTTTGTTCCGCTTTCACGCCGTAACTACTAAACCGATTACTTTGAATTTTTGCAGACGTAAAGTTAGAAGTCTGAATTAAATAATAGGGTAGGTACTTATTATCCCAGAAAATTTGATATTCTCGAGGGAAAACGAAATGATTGGTATAGATGGCGCTGTGTGTATTAGTATATGTCACATAGGCTAGTTTTGATCTTTTTGTGACGCGAGCGAAGCCGCGGGTAAAAGCTAGTATTATATAAAAGACATTATCATAACTTCACTTGAACTCGTCTTTCACTATTTCTATTGTACATCGCGACACGTTTATCAATAAGCGGTTATCATTCGGCAGCGAGTTATCAATTCAATGACATGCATACACAATTACTTTACAACACTATTTTCCACAGTTGGTACTATCACCTCTAGATCTTTCTACAGGGAGATTATGGAAAATACCTTTGTTTCCAAATCTTGACAGGTGAAATGTTTTACAAGAGGTAGTATCTGCAACTCTTGCAATATCTCGTGTTTTTAATAAATAGATACCTAATGTAGATAAATTTAACTTCGGCGATCGAGTTATCGCATCGCAAATAGCATTCCTGAGGTTTCAGTTTATATCCCCTAATGTCGGAATACTGAAACGCTACTCAATTTGAAGTCGTGCTTAAGTATAGTTCTATCTCTACAAATTCTTTGTAAAATGACAGAGATGGCACGATATTTGAGCACGACTTAAAATTGATTAACGTTTCAATATTCCGGCATAAGCCAGGTAAAGTATAAAGTAGGTACATTTTCTTTTTCGAAAAGCCATGAAATCAGAAACTAATTCTACTGCAATGCAATAAGCTTTTAATGAGCTTGTCTTACATTCATGTATTGTCACATCACACTTTTGTTCGTTAATCACGCTGAAATTAATGAACGGATTTTGATAAAATTTGGTATACAGGCAGGGTACGAGCTAATTTAGGTGATAGGATACTATTTATCCCAATTAAATGCTCTTATTGGATAAATCAAGAATCGTATTCTACGCAGATGAAGTCGCGGTCAATGCTAGTAAGTTATAATTCTTCTTTAAAGTTAAGTTGTAATCTATCTACCTCTATCTATCTATATAAATAAAAATGAATTCCCGTTTGTTAGTACTTTTGGTCTTGAAATGTTCGAGGAAGTGCAGGGAATGTTTGAAAGGTGAGGAAAAGATTTTTAGGCGGTACGAAGTTGGCCGGGTCAGCTAGTTACAAATATTATTCAAACAGCCAGCCTAATGGCAAGCAGACACTGTAGGCTACGGCCTCGGTACATTTAGAGGTAAAAATCCCATAGTCTTTCTCTCCAAAAAGCTAGGCACCTTTTTCATGTTTCCACTTCCAACACCAAATGCATCACAAATGCGTAAGGGTAGCGTAAGGAAATTATTGAATTTATTATAAACCTTCTTTCGCATTTCGATAAAAAGATATTATTATGAAAGGAAAAATGAAAGAGGCCTTTGTATTCCAGCAACAACAGCAATAATACCCGCATTGCGTAATCACGTGGCTCCCGACACGTCCACGTATCGTGGTCGTGACCCGAAGATATTGCGGATTCTAATATTTTATCATTGGCATTTATTACTGGTGAAATTTATCCGTGCCTATGATTTATGATCACTCTAGTCTCTGATTATTCTAAATCTTTTTTCTAGATGATAATGCTAATCGTCGTTGCAGTGATGAAAATAGAAATCTTTGCTTAATCTATATGTTTGACTAGTAAAAAAGTTTCTTTGTACCTCATAGAAAGATATCAAAAAATTGCTCATATAAATAATACTCAAAGTAGTACTACTAGTTAGAGTTAGTCAAACTAATGATACTTCTGGAAGTAATTTCAAAAAAGAAAGTAGATAAAATTATGACAGAAAAAGAACATACTATAAGAGAAGATATAAATATAGACAAAGCAAAGAAATCGAGATAGTAAATTATACTGAGATCTCTTGCAGTGGTATCATCAGTGCAAGCTACTAAAAATATCAACAACATACTTATAGAATAAAACAACAAAACAGAATATAATATAGCAATATAAGAGTAGCAGTAAAACGACGAAATATATTATTTATTATTACGACAAATTATTTCACTGTGACCAGAGTAAAACTGTTATTGTTTAAGCGATATTAAATATAACAGATAAGGAATATCGTGCCTTTGCTAATTGTATCGGAGAAGATAACAAACATAAAATGGCTGATAATGAAAATAACAAAACAGGTAAATTGCTTTTTGTAATTATTGATTTTGGATAAATACTACTACCTACCTATGAATAGTCATAGGTAGGTAGCTAGCTTCATAGGAATGATGCTAGTGGTTCAGTTGAAGATGGAAACAATGCAGAAAATATTTCATTTCAGTTAAACACTGATTATTTTACGTCGAAAAATAAAAAGACAGAAGCGTAACAGAGAATTATCTTTTAAGCTAATTCTTTTTCTTCTTCTTCTAACATTTTAAAGAAATAAATCAACAATGATGAAATGTGAGGCACTCTGTAAGTATAGTGATCATGAAAAAGAACCGCGTGCATTAAATTAAATAAATTTCAATAATTACAAATATTGTGCTGTTCAAACTCACCATTATCGTAGTCTTCTATATCCTTATTATTTTATATTTAACTTATAATCTTATCTGTAAATCTAACATTAATACTAAGTGAGACGGATTCCAACTATTGGTATGAGGACTTTACACTTATCACATATAAATTGTCTCTCTGACATTTTGTTCATAACATTTGGGCCAGTCTTTACATCATTCGCGATATGTCAATTTAGGCTTCAAGTATCGATGCCACATTCTACACAGTCGAAAATGTACAGAGAAAAAGGTTGTCTCCCAATCTCATACAAGCTTTTCTTCTGTAAACTTTACCGGCTGGTTCACTACTTCGATAGCATTGTCGGTCGTTATGTCGACCCTTGCTGTTTCATTGTTGTTGTAGTTATCTTTCTTCTTGTCTACCACTACTTCTTCTAAAGTCGATGCATTGTTATTATCTGGCTTAATCTCCTCCAGATTCAAGTCAGACTTTTTCTTAGCTTCCTTACTACAGTGTAAATTTCTTTCATTATTAGACACTTGAGGATAATGATGCAATATCGCAGTTGTGTTAAAAGTAATTTTACCATACTTGACTATCTCTTGAGGTCGTTTTGCTTGACTAGTACTAGGTACAGCTAAATCTATATCCCTGTCTATGTCAATATCAGGTGAGTTCGCGGTGGTATAATCCCTCGTCTCGTCTATAAGTCCTAAAGCTATACGTTTACTTTTCTTAATATTTTCCATATAACTATTGTGAAGGTTCATATCTATAGTGTTATTATGTTTAAGTGGCAAAGAATTTGGCAGCCGGTATTGTCTGTCCTCGGCTGTGTATCACAATTGTTTCTGGTTGTGCTGCTTGACTATCTGGTCGGTAGCCGCGGCGATGTCGCGCGCGGCGTTTGTTAGCTATGTCTGAGACTGCACCATTGAAATGCTGGTTGTCTCCGTAACAATAGTAGGCGCGGGGAACTCCTCAGTGGTCGAGTCGTAGATGGGGAACTCGCAACACAAAACGAACTTCAAGAATCGTGGCACTTCCACATAAATTGCTGGTGGAATCGGTATCAGGGGCGAAGTCGACGCTTTGTAATACAAATAATCTGGGTTATCTCTGTACTTTTCGTCAGCCGATCGTTCGAGGAGCGGTATACCAGATAAGAACAATATGATCGCCGTCGTAAATAATGGAGATAGGATCGCGATCCATTCGATGCCATTAATTACGTTTAGTGATATGACAAATATTCCCCACCACAGCACTACTTCTCCGAAGTAGTTCGGATGTCTCGACAGTCCCCAGAGGCCATCATTGCACCACTTGCCTTGGTTGGCTGGCTCCTGTCTGAATGCAAACTTCTGTAGATCTGCGTATGTTTCAATCAACAATCCGGTGACAAATATTCCGGCGCCAGCTGAGTCCAGTGTCGTCATTGTCTTCGGAGACTTGGGGAAGGAATGATGCGGCGAGTTCATTATAATTACTGGTAAACTTACTATGTATACCCAGACTGCCTGAAACGTATAGAACACTGCGAACCTCAGAGTATTACTTTTACGATCCTCGAATTGCTTATCTCTACCTATATGATAGATTCTGTAAATGAGGTAGCCAGAGAGCCTGACTCCCCAGAGGCACACGAAGGCAGTCACCATGAGCTGGCGGCTGTCGTAACTCTTGAGGTGGGAGCCTCCTTGCCCGAGGAAGAATGTCAGCAAGGCTATAATAATAAAGTTAGCCCCGCCAGTGAAGTCAGTCACTTTATCGTTCTGGAACAACGAGGCTATGGTGAAGAACAGGATCTGCATCGCGACCGTCACCATAGCGCTTATAGCGAAGTTGTTCCTGTCTATTAAGGGCTCCATTGTGTGTATATTTTACACTAAATACTGGATTTGGCATCAGGGAACGTTCGAATCGATTCGTTGGCGCAATGCTGCATTTTGGAAATTCACTCTTATTATTAACATGTTAAAGTATCGTTTTGGTGCACATCCTTCACAGTTTCCACTAGAGTCACGCACTGTTTCCTATTAAACGTGGTTGCAATAAGTTTAATGTATTATTTCGTTTATAAGCGGTTCTATAAGCTCGTCTCGTAAGCTTTACTGAAATAGATTTGACGTTTGCAGCGCGCAGGCGTCAGACTTCGGGTTCACGCATGCGCGGAACCTTGAACCTCTCTCAAGACTTTTGGAAGTACTTTTATTTGATAAACAATGAACAAAATATTTTAGAAATACCTCAATATTCTAGTATTTCTAATAGAATTAGTTAATGAATGGGTATTGTCATACAAATTGATACGTAAGTAGGTCAGTGTGACGTCGATGTCTCCGAGAATAGATTCCTCTTGTTCGTACGACATACCGACGTGTGTGTAGCTACATACATTTATATAGTATGAATATATTGTGCGCCTGTATAGTAAAGTATTGCATGCGACAAAGTTGAGAGTTCCGCATTTAGAACTATACAATTAGTCCATATTGTTCTTATGTGACACACTGCAGGGTTTCTTTGAAAATTTATTTTTTTATATCAAGAACTAAATCATCAAACAACGATTGTATTTTGTTTTTGGAAGTACTCTTCCAAGGAAGTTCTCTCTTCTGTTAAAATATGGTGTAATACACGTTACTACGTGAAACATGTATTATACCACCTCAAGTGGTAAGCAGAGCCAGACAATCATGTATGAGTTTCGATCTGTGGTTGAAGTAAAATCTATAAGTATAGATTTTACTTTATGTAAGTACATAAATCTATAGAATGTGTTCAGTTGTATGTTTTCTAACGTTTTTTTTTATTATTTTTGTGTTGGACTGTTCATTAATCTAGAGAGGTTATAGGGTATAAAACATCACGCTTAGATTAATAGGATCTGAGCAAAGTGGGTGAAGCGCGCCCATAGCTAATGTTGTATAAATCTGAATATTTTTTGAAAATAAAGAATAACAACTATGTTAATAAAATTAACTTGAGATTGTATTATTTTCCTTACTTATTGTTGGTTATATTATTTTTGCCTTGTTTTTTTTTTTAATTTTATTTCATATTGTTCACTCTCCTGCTTTTAGCTAACGTATGCTGAAACTCTGTAATTGGCTTAAAGTTTCTATGTCCTGTCATTATAAAACATGTACCCTTTACTAAATAAGCTGTTGAGTTTTCTATGTCAATACATAGTATAAAACAAAGTCGCTTTCGCTGTATGTCCGTATGTATGCTTAGATCTTTAAAACTACGCAACGGATTTTGATGCGGTTTTTTTTTAATAGATAGAGTGATTCTTAAGGAAGGTTTGTATGTATAATACATGCATATTGCACCTGTGCGAAGCCGGGGCGGGTCGCTAGTAATAAATAAAATAAATAAATAAAAGATAGTTTGTATGCTGTTCGCTGGAGACGATAACAGATGTATATTCTCCTTTGAACATGAGACCCTAAGTATAAAACATAACATAACATCACGCCTTTTATTCCCGAAGGGGTAGGCAGAGGTGCACATTATGCCACTACAATGTAACACCCACTTATCACTGTTTATGTTATGACTCCCATGTAATAGGGTGTGAGCCTATTGCCATATACCGGGCACAATTCCAGACTCCGTGCTACTACTGAGAATTTATTAAAAACCCAGTAATACTTTGCTCGACCTGGGAATCGAACCCGAGACCCATTGCCCGGCAGTCGCACTTGCGACCACTCCGCCAACGAGGCAGTCAACAGTCAGTCGTCAACTATAAAACAATATTAACTAAAAATTACGAGTGATACACGTAAATATACTGAGAAAAGCTCAACTAGTTTCAAGTCCCTACTCTTCCTCATGAGCAGCACAGTCATTAGTCAATTCAGCATGTTTCACGATAGATACTATAAAAACATAAAACCACATTATTTTAACTGTCAAACACCAAGCGGTCACCGGTGACCGCAACCTATTGTTCTATAATTGTGTCTACAAAACCGGTACTCGACGAGTTAAGTATGTTTCGTATAAGTACATATATCGGTAACATGAAAAACATATTTCCTTTTGTTTAAAATCGGAGATTAAGATAAGATGTGTACATTAATTTTTAATTTCTGGTAGTGATCGTCGTGGCTGATAACATGGACAAGTTTTCCAATTTGTATTCATTATTCATATGTTATCGGTTTTTTTTTAATTAAATAGGGCTGCGACTATGAAACTATGTAACTAGAGAATTGTATTGTAAACCTGATCGAAAAAGAGTAACCTATGGAGTATCTTGCTCGTTCTTCTCCATAGGAATCTACACCTTGAAATGAGCAAATAGCTTCACTTTTAATTTTTTTGTTGATGTTCAAAAGTGCCTTTCATTGATTGACTTTGACTTTTAACTTCCTAATGATTTTTTTGAATTCGAATCACAATCGAATCAGTAGTTTTTGAGAAATGTATGGATAATTTGTCTTTGTTTATAAACATAAATTACTGTTTCTTTTTTATTTTTTTTATGGCATTAGCCGGTAAACGAGCAGACAGATCACCTGATGGTAAGCAATCGGCGTCGCCCATCGACACCTGGAACACCAGAGGCGTTACAAGTGCGTTACCGGCCTTTTGGGGATTAGGAGTTAGAGGATGGTTAGGGATTCAGGAATTGGGGAGATTGGGGAAGGGGAGGGTAATTGGGCCTCCGGTAACCTCACTCTCACGACGAAACACAACGCAAGCGTTGCTTCACGTCGGATTGACCTAATAAGGGTATAATCCAGGAAGCTACAGGATGCAGGTCGCTTCCATCCGGCCTATCTGGAAGTCATTGGGGGAGGCCTATGTTCAGCAGTGGACGTCCTGTGGCTGATATGATGATGAAGAGATTAGTTTAGTATCCCTAAATGGAAAGATTATTGTAATTGGATTATCTTGCAGTTTTTTTTACCACTATCTCGACAGCTGGTGGTAAGCGATGATGCATACGATGGAGCACGTCGACCCATAAGCAACCTATTCACTAGTTTCGACAATACTACGTGTTCTCAAATGCGTCGTACATAAATACATACGTAAATAACCTTTTTTATTTAAAATCGGTTGAAACAATATGTTTTGTGTTGTCGATGATTCAGTTAAGAGATAACGTATCACAGGATTATCGTAAAGAGACGTTCTAGACAAAGGAGTGATAAAACCGTAAATTTTTATTTTTATTCTGATAATGTGATGTCCAAAAACCATTGACCTGTGACGACGACAGATATGGTTACGATGAGAGTTCAGGTTATAGTGGTGTTAGTTTTAACTTCGAATCAATTAAATATGAATAAATATAATTGATATTTGATTATAGTCCCTATATACACACATATATGTCACAATGTTCTATCCCAAAAGGAAGGGCAGAGGTGATTGTACATGATACGGTTTGGGCCTCTAGTGTTAAATGTGTACTTAGGTTACGAACACAGCTTACATCTTTTCATACTAATATTATAAATGCAGAAGTTTGTGTGTTTGTGTGTGTTTATTACTCAATCATGTCAAAACAGCTTAAGGAATCGCGATATAATTGGGAACAGTGGTAGATTATGGTCTGGACTGACACATAGGCTTTTTATCCAACGCGAACGTGGGCAACGCCGCGGGCAGAAGCTAGTTAAACAAAAAGGTGGGCCCTAAGCCTTGTTGCTATCGACAATAATGTCACAAAACACAACTTTAAAAAAAACCTTTGGTGTTTTAGGTGTAGGTACATGGACGGCGCATATTGCTTGACCTTCAAATAAAACAAAAGTACTCACGTGGTGTTTAATCCTAGTTCAATGTTGTTGTCGTTAATGTATGCCTTAGCCATGTCAGCGAGCATCAGCTGGAAGTCATCCTTAATGGCCTTGAATTGAGCCAAGGTGAGGCCAGCAAGGTTCAAGGTCAAAGTCTCCCGTGGTGGCTGGATGACCGCCTCAGCATCAGGCAGGTCTTCTTCAAGTTCTGGGAGAGACCCTGAAAGATAATTTGAATGGTTATCATCTCAGTTCTTTTGGTGTACAAGTTTTTGATGGAAAATATCACCATTAGCAACATCTAGTGAACTGTAGATCTTGGCTTAGAGTTGCAGTGTTTAGGGAGATTGTGGTGGGCTTGTCCTAAAAATTATCTCATGATAGTCTTCTTCAAGATTAAAAAGTTCTTTGGTATAAGAGAGGTTTGATTCGTTGACTCGTATGCCGAAATGTATCATAAAATAAAGCGTTGAATGAAAAACTTACATATCATTTTGACTGACAGACTGAACCCACGATGCAATTGCCAACGAGCATCGTTGGCTTGGAACCTGATGAACACGCGGTCTACGCCAGTGAACCTGTATTTGCGTTCTGATCTTAGACGATGCGCGAATACAAGACCATCTGAACCGGAAGCATCGAGACCACCTGAGAATAATCAGAAGTTATCATTATCATCATCAACAACATTTACTGGGAACATTTATTTAGCTTCATCTTACGTTAAGATACTTTATCACCACGCAAAATTAAGGCAGGTTGGCAATTTCAAACTTATAGTTTTAAATTATAAGCTCAAGTTTCTTCGACATTTACCTCCACCCTATATCAACGGTGTATAAACCTGTGTGACCTTTGTATTTGATTCTATGTAGTCAGATTTGCTATCTAGCAAACAGCTAAAGTTAAAAACTTTAACGTAAATATACAAGATTGAATTATAATTACCTGGTTTGATAAGTAGAAAGTCACCCGTAACTGAATTGAGATCCAAAGTTGTAATGTTTAGCTCAATGCCATGACCTGGTCCCTCGAGAATCCAATCAATGATGTTGTTTGGTTGGTAGGGATTAGGGTGATTAGGGGATTCTATAACGGTAGGCGTATCTACAGACAAGGTAATATGAACAGGTGCTACATGTTTAGCAAAACTTTCAGAATTGGGGTCTAATTCTTCCTGGTGAGTAGCGACAAACTGTGCTGTAAGCTGTTCGAGCTCAGCACTGCTCAAATCATCAACCATCTTTGTCTTTTGTTCAGTTGTATCCTCGATATTCGCTTGGGTCGTTTTAAACACAACTGCATCTGCGTTTTTAGTTAGTTTTTCATCTACTAAACCATCGTCTCCATACGGTTGTTGCTCTTTGACATCTTCATTGAATATCTGTTTAATAATACTGTCGAGATCATCATCAGCGTTTGGTTCAGTGTCAGTAAGTTCGTCGTAATTATCAACGTAATCGATTATTTTTTTCTCCTCTTCATTTTCTTGCGGTGAAGCAGTAGTTGCAGCTTTTTCCTCTGGTTCGACGTTGCCATCGACTTCCTGTGACTCAGATTTGTTCTCATCTTTCTCATTTTCAGCAAATATTTGTGACAAGTTGCTGTCTTCAATCTCGACATAGTCATTATCATCTTTATGTTCCGTGGAAACAATGTTCTCATCTGCCCCTAACTCATCATTGAAAAGCTCATCATCTTTCTGTTCGTCTTTCTGTTCATCAGCCACAATATTCTCATCAACTGCAAATGCATCAAGAGGTTCATCAACTTGCTTAGAATCTTGTGGTTCTTGATCAACAGCTTCTGAGTTTGGCACAACCTCATCAAGATCTTTGTTCTCTTCATCTTCATTTGAATTATCATCACTCAACTTATTAAATGTTTCAATTAATTTATCTAAATCAGCATTGAGGTCAGCATATACTTTTGCAGGTGTGTCTTCTTCAGAGTTATCAGTTTTTTCATTGATAATATCTTCTTCGCTCTTTTCTAGGTCTTGTTCTTGAGAAGCGTCAAAGTCACTGGCATCAAACTCATCATTCATTTCCGACAATAGTTTGTTAGTCTCTTCGATAATGTTATCTATATTTTTTTCACTAGCGGGAGTCTCTTCTGGCACTTTCTCTTCATTTAAGCTATCCTTTTCATTGTTCAGTATAGCTTCAGTATCCTTAAAAATTTCATCGTCATTTTCGGCTGCTGGTACTGGTAGTGGGTCAACATCATCCGCTACTGCATCGCGCCATAGGGGATTATCAGCCTCAAAGTCTGGGTAGTCTTCATTATCTGATTCAGGTGCTCCTAGGGGTAGAACTTTGTGTTCCTCTAGACTTTGGTCCTCCAGTTTTTCTTCTTCAGCTGGTAAGTCTTGATTTTCTTCAACTTGTTCCTTGGATCGGTTATCTTCGATCTGGTAGTCTGGGATGGCGTTAGAATCTACTCCTGCATCATTATCATTGTCAGCTGGTTCTGGTAGAGGTTGTGTGTCTGGGTCTTGTAGTACATCGTCTGCTTCTGCTGACTTGCTTGCATCAGCTTGTTTCACGTCTGTGCTTTCATCACTGGTATCAACATATGTGTCGTATAAATTGTCGTAATCATTTTGAAAGTAATCTGGATTTGCATCGCCTTCTTGCGCTGAAACAATGAAATAAGGCATTATTAACATACGTCTAAAACATAAAATACAATAACAGTCTACCGACAGTTTCTCCTTCAATTTCTCTAAAGAAGTTGAAATATTCAAAAACCATTAGTCGAAAGTTAGTTTAGTGGCATTAAGCAACAATATTGGATAATTAATTTGTATTTATATAGAATAGAACCAAACGAGAGTCATTGCGACGTTGCCGCTCTTACGTCTAAATTAATTAAATTGAACTATAAGAGTGGTTATAGTTATATCTACCTATAAGTACCGTACTATTTATAAATATGGTGTCATCTGAGTTCTCAAGCAATTTGTTCAGGAAAATAATAACCGATATTTTAATAGTACTTGCAATTTGTAACCGCATACTTAATGACAATTGTAACATTTAACTGTTTGATTTCTCTTTACTCTAATTAAACTAGATACTCAGCAAGAATGAGATCTTAAGTATACTAATAAGTAACTAAATTCTGTTTTAACCAAGCATTCCCAAACTATTTATTAACTAAGAGATACTTAGCGTCATCATCATCATCAACAATCGAAAGGCATACAATGCAGGACAAAGTGACACCGGCTCCTCGCAACTAAGCATCATGGAGCACCTAAACTCAAACTAAAACTTATAGGTTGGTGAATTGCAAAATGTTGTTAAGTGTCTATCTATCTCAGCTTAGGTGGTCCTTAAAACTTAATAGTGGTTGGTGGAAATTGGCATTAGAGTCTCAAATTCTTTGTACCATTCACTCGTACCTCTAACTTTTTCTTCCTAAAGCGATACATAGCATAAAAATTAAATACAAATAGCTATACTTCCAATAAAACTAAAACTATTATGGCAAAGAGGTCACATGACATGACCAACTTTAACCGAACGAAATAACGAGAAGTAATTCTATATAAGTATTTTTCAGGTTAGAAACCACAATAATACAGTACCTAACAAATGAGTAATGAATAATGGCGGACTATTTATACTGCCATACATAAACAACTTGTAATATATAAGTAAAGTCGTTTAAATTAATATTCAGTTTTATTGCAGTAGCTATTATCACTGACTCATTGTGAACTTCACGCATGTTTTTACTTTTAATACCCGGCCATGGCTAAAGTAACTATGAAGGTTATAGTATAGAAGTGTTGGAGAGCCATGCTTCGGCACGAATGGGCCGGCTCGACCAGAGTGATACCACGGCCGAGCAGAATACCTACGTGAAGCAATTTTCCCTTTTATTATTACTTAGTAGGATTTATACCTGCCATGATCTAACTGCAGGGTGCAGGGTGAAGGCCTCCCTACTAACCACTCATCATCTGTGTGAAGAGCTGTATGTTAACCGGATATTTAAAGAAAGGATCCTTTATCAAAATTTAAAAAGAGGAAAATAGGTACCTATGAAGCCTGGAAAGATATCTATGGTGGAAACGGATTTAAGGAAGCTTCAAATTGGTCAAGAAACTGACAAGAAACTCGAGAAATTGCGTTTCATAACGGATGCCAAAATCCACTGAGGGTAACTTAGCTACCGGAGTAAGTGAGTACAATGTATAGTGAGTACCAGGTATAGAAATTTATGCGACTCACGACACGAGTCACTGGTACACTTATTTCATGAATGTGCCTACAAAAGTAGCGATAAGTTTTAAAATAGATGCCTTATTAGTCAAAAGTAAACCGCATCGACCAATATTTCACGACCGGTACATAAATGGGTACCTACAACTTATAATAGAGCATTATTACTCATTTGTTTGTTGACTGACTCATTGGCCGAGTGGTCGCAATTGCGACTGCCGGGCAAGGGGCTCGGGCCGGGAAAAATATTTCTGGGTTTTTGAAAAAATAATCTCAGTGGCAGCATAGAGTCTGGAATTGTGCCCGGTATATGGCAATAGGGTCACCCCCTATTACATGGGACTCATAACATAATTAACATAAATAGTGAAAAATAGGTATTACATTGTACAGTGGCATTAAGTGCCGTAATTTGCACTTCTAGCTACCCCTTTGGGGATCAAAAGGCGTTATGTTATGTCATATTGTTTGTTTATCTTCAACAGCTACGTAGTATATAAAAGTAATATTCAAATATTTCACGTTCAAATTTGCATCTGCCAGCGACTTTGTACGTACAAATAGATGATTCCCGTTTTTAATACACCCGTGGGAATTTAGAAAAATCCTCATGAATATAATGCTCCCTTACAATCCCCAAAAACTACAAGACCTAAGTTTCAGCTCCCTAGTTCTAATAGTTTCGGCTATGCGTCGTCTGTCAGTGAGTCAGTCACACCGTAACAGACGTTTTGTACATACATATCTTGGAAGTAAAATAAGAAGTAAAAGAACGTAAACTTAACATCCTATGCCAGCACATGATACTAGCCTAATTTGTTTTCTTCAATAGAATTTCAATCCTATGGTTTTCGTAATAGAGTCGAAAAGAGTCTGTACCAACTGTAGGTACAATATGAAGAAATGTGATAAGCTTTATGATCGACCTCGAGTCTTCGATGCAATTAATAAAATAGTTATTATGTCTCGTTCAAGATGTTAATGATAAATAATATATTACATTAATTAGTACACAAGTCAACGATAACCTTCAGGTTAGGTCCATGTACAGTGGAGGACAGATCCGCCTGATCGTTTTAAAATTAAATTTTAAAGTTAAAGGACATTGTCCAAAATAGCCCTGTGCAATAAAGAGTATTAGAATACACGATAAATTCCCTATTTTATCATATAAGTTGCAAGTACTTCTGTATCATGGACTAGGTGTATTCCAAAACGTACTTTTAATAGAATTTAACGCGATTAATAACATTAGATCGCCATCTTCGCCTAATCTCAAATGCCTTCGCCTAATGTAATAAATAAATAAATTAGCAAGTCCTATTTCATGTCGATGTCGTGTCAAAAGTGAAATTTGGATTTCCAATATAATCGATCGATTGTGTTTTTTTTCTTTATGAATGCTATCATACTCCAATTTAAATAGGTAGTAACACAGTAAATACAGTAATCAAAACCTCTTAACTTCTATACAATCATTCAAACATTCAACATTCGTTCAAATATTAATTGTTTTAGTTAGATTATAACCTCAAAATCTGATACTTTTATCGAAATATGTGTTTTATGCAGTTAGTCCGCAATAAAAACAAGATCTTTTAGGAGTCTACAAATGATTGAGAATACAATACATAATTATTTATCCGATACTCTTACCTACTGGGCCAAAAATGTATGGACGCAGAGCAATGTCCTTTTATATCTTGAACCCGGTAAAAACATTAAGCAATATCCCATAATGTCTCAACTAATAGAAAAGCGATAACGTCACAATCTAAGTAATCGCTTAGTGAGTCAGTGGTGCGATTGTTCGGCTACATGTGCCGGCGCCAGCCCATCTCACCACCTTACTTCTTTCGTCAATTCCACGTCATAGGGCGACGCTAGAGAGCAGATCTCATCAAGTGCAAGCAAACATTAACTTAGTGGTGGTCAGGCAGATGTGCTCCCCATTGTACCTACTATCGGCAAAGGTTACAGTAATACACTTTTTACTCATAATCCTGTGGCAAATTCGCTATCCATCGCATTGTATTTCCTGTTATCGCTCGCGCCGAATGCATGCGAAAACCGCCTAATGATGGTCGACCTCTATCGACTGTACGCACAGCTTTACATCAAGCTAAACAAATCCAGGTTATCATGAACTCACTTTGTATGTTCTTTTCGCATATTCGACGTTCAGTTTAAACTGGTTTTCATAGCTCGATGCGCACTTACATTTTATGTTTAATGTTCATAAATATGACATCTGCTCATTACTATAAATAACATTATAGCATTTCCTTCGCGGAATATGACTTAATAATAACAAAACCTGAAGCGTTACTTTGGCCGAGTGGTCGCAAGTGCGACTGCCGGGCAAGGGGTCTCGGGTTCGATTCCCGGGTAAGGCAAAGTATTACTGGGCTTTTAAAAATCTCAGTAGTAGCACGGAGTCTGGAAATGTGTCTGGTATATGGCAATAGGCTCATCCCTATTACATGGGACCCATAACATGAATAGTGAAAAGTGGGTATTACATTGTACTTGATTGTACAGTGGCATTAAGTACCGTAATGTGCAGTGCCTACCCGTTCGGGGATAAAAAGGCGTGGGGTTATGATGTTACGTTACTTTGAAAAAACAGTAACCATGGAGTTTCTTGCTCGTACTTACTCCATAGAAATCTCTCAGTTCTTCCTTAGTAATAATTTCGGTATTGTTTATCAACTTTACGGGTAAAATTATTCCGAGTTTTTGTCTTTTTGATGCATGTTTTTTTGAGGCAGACGCACAGCTTAGTCTATAACGTGTTTCATTAAAACACAACAAAAATTGTTCGTAACACAAATATTAACAGAAACTATTTCTTATCTAAATATAGGTTCTATAATCATCATCATCATCAGCCTATATTCGTCCACTGCTGGACATAGGCCTCTCCTATGGCACGCCACTGAGCTCGGTCTTCAGCTCTTCTCATCCAACCACTGCCAGCCACCTTGCGGATGTCGTCACTCCACCTAGCTGGAGGGCGCCCTACACTGCGTTTGCCTAGACGCGGTCTCCACTCTAGAACACGTTTACCCCAACGGTTCTATAATATGGAACTAGAATTTGGTAAGAAATATGCATGCATGCATTCGTCAATTGATGTAAGCTTTGACTTTGACGTTGACGTACAGTAGCTTTTGTTTTGTAAACCATAATGTGGTACTTTTGATCTGATTCAAATGTCACACAAATTGTTTTTTTACGGCATAAGCCGGTAAACGAGCAGACGGATCACCTGATGGTAAGCAATCGGCGTCGTCGCCCTTGGACACCTGAAACACCAGAGGCGATACAAGTGCGTTACCGGTATCTATCAATTGTAATCTAAAGTAATACATAGATGTCTTTTTGCCCCAGTAGCGCGAACGA